TGTTGTTATTCTTACTTGCATCATCTAGCAGGTGCTGGGTTGATTTCTCATGGTCCTTTGCTATTTTTAAGAAATCTTTCTTTACCTGATCACTGACTGCAAGCTTGTCTTGCATATCTGAGATTCTATGCTCACATTGGCTCTTTCTGCTGTGGATATTTTCAGTGGAATTTTTAGTCTCCTGGATATCTGCCGAATCTATTTTATGGATTCCATTTCTTACCTATGTTGGAGATTCATGGTTTCCATCATTTTCCTGAGCTCCTCTTTTTTTTTAATCTGTATCTGCTTTAGAGTCACTACGCATGCTTTTTCATCGTGGTCACCGTCTCAGTAGTTATCTGAGAAATTATTTCTGTTTTGATTTTTTTCTACAGCCTCATTCATTTGCCTTGTTTTTACCACTTCAGAGTGGGGAGGCTTTTGGATTGTCCTACCTCATTGCCCCCATAGGTTTGCCTTTGGTGTACTGGGGTTTGTATCTTGTTCAAGTGTCTTTTTTTTTTTTTTCTGGTACCGGGAATCGAACTCACAACCTTGGGCTTGCCAGGCAGGTGCTGTGCCGCAGAGCTAAATCCTCAGCCCCTTAAGTGTCTTTTCATTTTCTCTTTTTTAGTTTAATTTCTGGGTTAATACTTGTAAATTTCTTATGGTGAGTTGCTTTATTACTAGTATTCAGAACCCTTAGGAAATGACTACTTCTCAGAGGTGTCTTCCAGGTGTGTTGCTAATTTTTGGGTTTTGATTCTGTTGCAAGATCCTACATCTTCAATTTGTTGGGGATGAAAAGTTGTTGCCTGCTTTGCCCACCCCCTGGTTCTTTGGCATTGGCGTGTAGTATTTTGTATGACCCTGAGACAGTCTCAGTCTTGGTATACGAGGAAGAACAGCTGATTAGAACCATTATGTCAGTTTGGCTAAAGGGGTATAGTCAGCAATAACAGTAGCATCAAAGACAGCCTAGAAAATAACATACTGATATAACCATTAATTTGCCACTTAGAACGTATAAACTAGATTTGTGGTTATATAACAAAATCTAAAACAAACCAGAAAATTGTATGCAGTAAATAAGCTTTCAGTATGCCAATTTTACCCTCAGGAGAGAAAATTTAAAAGGGGATAGGGGAAAAGATAGAGAAATAGAAGAGATTAGAAGCAAGGCTGAAAGTCAAAGGAAAATCACCCAAACTTTGAGGAACCGATACAGAAGACAGGAGATAAAGAGAGAAGGAAGAAATAAAAGGAAGAACAGAACAGAACAAACACAAAGAAAGTAGAAACCATGTTCACATTCATATAAAAACAAGATCAGACAATGAAGGAGAGGGAAAAAAAAGAAGAGAGAGAGAGAAAAATGTGCACTTCCAGGTATGTCTCTGCTGTTATTGTGAGACAGTATGTGGAGACAGGGTCCAGATCTGTATTTCTTTATCCCAGCAAGCCAACAGTAGCTTTTTGATGGAGTAGTGGTTAAGCTCAGTGAGCCTGCATCTTTATTTTCCTTGAAGTTCAGGCTGATTTCTGGCGATGCAGCTGGACAGATCCGTTCAGCCTACAGTCATCAGAACACCTTCTGTGGGCTTGAACACAGCTGGGAGCCACTAGATGGACCTAGCAGTTTTTCTGAGTTCTGAGCTCAGTTGGCCCCTGTGTGACATGGCTCCCAGTCAATTGCCCTCTGCTGCGGGATGTCCAATTCCACAACACTTCCAGCTAGTACAGTGCTCTACGTCCACAGTTCCCTTCCACTGCTGCATCTATCTGTGGAGGCTCTGTTGTCGCCAGTAGTGTCAAGAGTGTGTCTGCAGATTTGAACCGCTTCTCCCACTCAGTGAGTCCCAACTCAGGGAGAAGGCACCAACGGCTACCTCCTTCTTCTTCATTCAAGTTTCTCTCTTTGCTCTCCCTGTGGGCTTCAATTTTCCCTTCAGATCCCTCCTGGGTCTAGGGGACCCATGTACCTCTTTCTTCTCTTCCTTGCATTTCTCTATTCCAGTGTCTAGAGGGCAACTCTCAGAGAGGCTCTTTCTTTGCTGCTTACCATTCTACCATCTTCCTGGAAGTAGTATATACTATTTTGGAGCCAAGCTGTGTGAATGTAAATTTTGATTCTGCCACTTTCTGTGTAATTATGGAGAGATTACTTGTCATCTCTCTGCTTTACCTATCTTAGCTGTAAAATGAGGATAATATCTACCTCATGGGGTTGTTGTAAGGATTAAATAAGTTATTACAAGCAAAGTGCTTAAAACAGTCTGTACTCAGTAGATATTAGCTATTGTTACCAGTTTATGAATAGTATTTAAATCTGTGAGATTAGATGTGAAAACTTAGAGAATGAGTCTAGGTAGAGAAAAAGATCAAGAAGGTACTCTGAAACAATATATAGCATTTAGAATTTAGAAACGAGACTGAGGAGGAATGAAAACCAGCCAGGAAGGTGTGGTGGCCGGAATCTGGCCTAGAAAAGGAAATATTTCGGTGGAGATAAGTCATCAATTTGAACAAACTCTGCTTGAGATGAGGATGGGGAAATGATAGCTGGGTTTGTTAAGGTGGAAGTTGCTGGAGATCTTGAAAAGTGGTTTCAGTTGAGTGGTAAGGATGTAAGTCTGATAAGAGTGGTAAAGGAGGGGCTGGGGATTTAGCTCAGCAGCATAGCGCCTGCCTGGCAAGTGCAAGGTCGTGAGTTCGATTTCTGGTACCGGAAAAAAGAACCCCAAAAAAAGGTAAAGGAGAAAATTGGGAGGTAGTGTAGAATTGGAGACAGTGCATATAGGTGACATGTTAGAGAAGTTTTACTGTAAAGAGGAGTAGGGAAAATGGCGTAATGAAAGAAAATAAGCAGGGTCAAGAAAAGGTAGAAGTAGGGCCATTTGTTGATTTAAAGATACAAGTACAGTAAGTTTTTATGCTGTTAGGAATGACCCACTGAGAAGAAAAAATTAGTGACATTTGAGTGATCGGGAAATTATAGCAGTCATGACCTTGAGTAGGTAAAATAAAGTGAGTAAGTATATAAGGAATCTGTAAGACTTTGGCAGAGACAGTTCATCCACTAGTGAAGATAGAGAATATTAATAGAGGTGTGGATAGTTTGGTAGAATTTGGCTCTGGAAATACGAAGTAATTTTTTCTTATTGTGGGGGAGGATCATTAGCTGAGAGTCAGAACTAGGGAGGGGTTTGTAATGTTGAAGAGAAGGGAGGTGATGTTGAAAGAGGCATTTTGAAAGATGGGAGGATGAATTGACTAGGAAGATCTAAAAAGCAGACCGTCAAAGAGTCCAGAAGGCCTCTTTTTTTTTTGGTTTTTCTCCGGTACCGGGAACCGAACTCACGACCTTGCGCATGCCAGGCAGGCGCTTTTGCTGCTGAGCTAAATCCCCAGCCCCCAGAAGCCCCTTTTCATTTGTTCCTGATCACTGGCTTCGCAATTTGAGTTGGCCAAGGAGGGAAGTGTAGTCCTGAGGGGATATGGAATGAAAAGGTTGTGAACCCCAGTGCCTTTTCTGCTTTTGCTTTGAACCTCTTTAAGTTCTATGACTTAGAGAATAGCTCCTGGAACGTTCCTCAAGTCCATGGGGAGGCAGTCACAGAGGGATTAATAATATTTAAAAAGAAGGGCTGGGGATTTAGCTCAGCAGCAAAGCGCCTGCCTGGCAAGCGCAAGGTCGTGGGTTTGGTTCCTGGTACCGGAGAAAAACCAAAAAAAAAAAAAAAAATAGGTTCTAGGCCCCAAAGTAACCATTTCATTTTTGCCCATGTTTAGTGTGTGTATCTTGATGTTTTATGATGAGTTACTAGATATACCTGTGTTGCCATCTCTCCTTGAATATGCCAGTTTTACACAAATGTTGTCAAGCTCTGGGTTGCTTTCAATAGATTATAATTTGTTGCTGAATTATCTAAAGAAAGCAATATTGTCTATAAGAACTAACTCAACAGCCTTTCCTGATTGACATGAAAGCCTCATCAATAGTTTCCCTGGGACGTGTGGTTTCCACGAGTATAGAATTGTCACTCATGTTGATTCATACTTTTGTTTTTGATTACAGAGAAATTAATATTTTGGTTTTGTTTCTTTCAGGTGCTGGAGAATCGGGTAAAAGTACCATTGTGAAACAGATGAAGTAAGTTGGAACTTGGCCTTTTATAAGCCTAGATTTCTTCTAGGCTTATAAATGTGTGAAAAATCTATAGCATATTTTCATTTTAGGTACATAGTATTGACTTGTGGCTTTCTTCTTTTTAAAGAATCATTCATGAAGATGGCTATTCCGAGGAAGAGTGTAAACAATATAAAGTAGTTGTCTATAGTAATACTATACAGTCGATCATTGCAATCATAAGAGCCATGGGACGGCTAAAGATTGATTTTGGGGAACCTGCCAGAGCAGTAAGTATTTTTCATTTCCTGTTCACTTTGATTTTATTCAGGAGATACAGTTAAGCAAAGTTTGCATCATGTTTTAGGGAAATGAATTTAAGCAACAAGATAAGATATTCCAGAGTACTGTGCGCTCATTTGAGAAGTGTTGGCAGTTTGCTTTAGAAGATAAGCATTCAATTACCATTACAAGAAGAGTCTAGGAAATGGGATTCTGTGGATATATGTAGGTTTCTGTAATGAGTGTTCTATTCATTTGCTTCTTTTATAACACCATTGACTTTTATAATAATAGTAATAATAATAATAATAATAGTAAATTAAAATAATCTAAAAGAAATGTTCCCATGGTATGTATCTCTGCCTTCCAAGGAGAGATTACAGCAAAAACCAGTCTCCAGCTAGAAACTCTGTAAAGACATGGGCACTGAGTCCAAATTGTAGAGATTTTTAGGTGTTCAAGAACATTATATCCCTGTATTACATTGGACCATATGCTGTAGAATTGGATTACACTATGTCCTGCTGTAAGTTTTTAGTGCCTTGCACATATTGGATATTTAAAAGTTGCATTGGTTAATTATAGTGTTAATTAGTGGACCTTGATAGTAAGTAAATTAGGATGCTTCATGCCATTGGAGAGAATGGCATGAAGGCAGAATGAAGGCAGGAGATCTTTATATTGTTACCAGTTAAATTTTTAAAAAAGCCAGGTAAGTGTAGAATTATTTTCTAGAACTTAGGGAGTCATTAACTGTGTTCAGTGTGTCATACTTAGGTACCACAGAAAAATAAGAGGAAGTGACTCGGGGAGTTAGCTGAGGAACTCTTTTAAGCTAAATAACTTATTAGTAAATAAGCAGTAAATTGTTGAAGGGAAAAATACTAAAAGGGTAGTTATAGTGGGATGGTATTAGGCTAGGAAATACCTTAGAAGTGGTGCAAAGAAAGAGAAGCTAGATTGAAGGGTTATAAAATAATGGGAGGGAATAGTAGCAACAAAGAAAATGGGAAATGTGTGTGAATTTTTGATTTTTATAAAGAGGTTTACCAAATTACATAACTGATAGGCCTTTTTTGGGTGGGGGCAGTGCTGAGGATTGAGGTTGGGGCCTAGTGTGCTCCCAGTCACCTAACTTCTCTGTTGTATTTATTATACTTGGTCAGTAATATTGTATTTATTTTCTTCCCTGTTTTTGTTGGCTTTTTATCCATATTAGTTATTTACTTAGTTTCTGTTTTTTCCTTTTGCATTTTTTTCTTGGTGTCTCTCCTTTATTTATTTTTCTCTTTCATTTTTTTACTTTATCAAATGTGTTGTCAGTAGTATTTGTGTTCTTTTCTTTTTTTTTTTTCCCAGTACCGGGAATTGAACTTACGACTTTGCGCTTGCCAGGCAGGTGCTGTGTCACTGAGCTAAATCCCCAGCCCCAGTATTTGTGTTCTGATACTCTTTATTACTAGATGCAGTTGAGGTCGTTAATCCTTCTCAGGCCTCTTCATTTAGCTTTCCAATATTTACCTGTACTAATCTACATTTCTATGTAATTTTTAAATTTTCTTTTTCCTTTTATATGTAAGGATTTATATTTACAGTTCCTATCTTTAGTTTTTTAGGGTTGGTTAGAAAGTAAATAGAAGAGAGTAGAGCTGGGTGTGGGATAGGTGCCTTCTTCATATCTGTTTAAGTAAAGATGGAAGTACTGGGCCAGGAATATAGCCCAGCAGCACAGCACCTGCCTGGCAAGCACAAGGCCATGAGTTCGATTCTGGGTACAAAAAAAAGAAAGGAAGTACTGAATGTGGATGAGTGTAGATCAGATTTCAGAAACAAGGGATTATAAAATCTTTAAATGTTAGGTAAAGCAGTATACAGTACCATGTGTTTTGTTTTGTTTTGTTTGTCTTTTTGAGACAGGGTCTCCCTCTGCAGTTCAGGCCGGCCTTGAGCTCACTTTGTAGCCCAGGCTGGTCCTGAACTTACAGTGATCCTCCTGCCTTAGCCTCCCGAGTGCTGGCATTACAGGCATGCACCACCACTCCCGGCAGTACCATGTGTTTGAAGGACTTGGCTCACTGTTGTGTTTGGCAATTTGTGTAATGCTTAAACTTTTCTCAATATTCATTCCTTTGTTAAAAATTTTTTATCTTTATGGGCTGATAGCTCAGGGGTAGTGTGCTTGTCTAGCATACAGAAGGCCCTGGTTTGATCCCTAGCACCACCAAAAAATGGGGAGTGGGGGAAGGGGGTGGATTAACTGAAAAGAGAATGGGAGGGAATGTAGATCTTTGGTAAAGATTTTTAGAGAAGGTTCAGCCTAAAGTATTACTAGTGAGAATACAGGGCAGGATCTTAAAGAGGGAATATTACTAAGCAAAAGCTGTAAGACTGAAGGTCTAGAACTTGGGAAAATTAATTTAAGTGCATGGTGGGTGTATTGTTTTGGCTAGGTAGATGCACATGTTCTTTCATGCACAGGTTTTAGAAGATTTTGGTAGTGATTTCATCTGTGACCTGAAATGCCTGTTGCATATTTTGTTTTGATGACTGCTTAGGATACAGATGGTTATTCCCTCTCTCTTTACTTTTTCTTTACACAGTATATAGATGTGTGTGCTTTTTAAAATACCTTTTGTTTTTATGGTTACTTGGTGTAAATACTAGATTAGGTTAGGGAAACTATTTCTTGAGAACTGTGTTTATCTTTAAACTGACAAGCAGGAATAGATACAATAAAGCAAAACAATGAAAATTCTAATAGCTGTTGCCTGACCTATGTAGCACATATTTTAGGCTTTTGATACTTAGAGAACTGAGCCTGTGACTCATGATGTTTTAATCCCATTTCTCTTTTCTTTTCCTCGTGCTGCCTTTTCCGATTCTCTTAGGGCATTATTTATTCCTTGGCGGGAAATACACAGACATGTTCCTCGAGGAATTTTATTTTTCCCACTAGGCTTCCAAAGGCTTCTTATGTGCCTCTGTCTCTTTTTCCTGTTCTGCTGTGTGGGCTGAAGGGGAAGAAAAAGTAACTTTTCCTTTAAATTTGATTAATGTTTTACACACCTCTGATACGTTTAGAGCTTACCTCTTATGTGCTTGTCTTTTTATTTTTATTTTTATTGTAGGCATCCTTTAACAGAATGGGAACATATTTTTGTTTTTTTTTGCAGACCATTTTTTTCCCTGTCAGTCATGAGTAATCAGGATAGAGACCTTCGGGCCAGCCTGAAAGGGTCTTTGCTGAGAATGGTGGTGTTGTATAGAGAAATAAAGAGCAGCAAATCTCTTTTCACCTAAATTCTAGGCTTATTTCTATAGGGGGTGAAAAAGGAAAGTATTATAAATGATTTCATAGTGTCTCGGCTGGAAGGGTTTCTTTAGCACCTTTTAAAAAGTACAATGTGACTAGTGTGCGTGTATGTATAGCGCCTCTTACTAGGTCTTAAAGAGCAGAATCATGTGTGTCTTTCTCTCTTAACTGCTTTCTTCAGGATGATGCTCGGCAATTATTTGTTTTAGCTGGCAGTGCTGAAGAAGGAATCATGACTTCAGAATTAGCGGGAGTGATTAAGCGGTTATGGCGAGATGGTGGGGTGCAGGCATGCTTTAGCAGATCCAGGGAATATCAGCTCAACGACTCTGCTTCATAGTAAGTATTTTTTTTTTTGAAACTGTTAACAGAAAATAACTTGATGACCCTAGAAAATTCAGTGCCCATCCTTAAGGAAATGTTTAAGTAACAGAAACTCTTAAAACTTAGAGCATCCTTTTATGATAGTCTCAATTCAGAATGATAGAGGCTTTGGTTGTTTATATGACTTGGAGAAAAAAAGTTCCCTCTTAGACTATAAATTGGAAGTTTGGCAACAAAAAATTAGTCCCGTGGTATATTTATAATAAGTGAGGATATGCTTGCTTCAGCAGCACATATACTATAATAACAAAGGAGAATATCTAGTATATCCTGGATTTCTTCCAACTGAGTAAACTCCATTTGCTTAATGACTTGGCCCTGATGGCCATCTAGAGAGGGAAGTTAAAATCATGACATCGCTTTTTATGCAGCCAACTTTCTGCATGTGGGCTGTATCATGGATTTCTCTGGTATTAGTGACCAGTTACGAATCTTTTGCCAGTTTATAATAGTAGACTGTAGAGAAAGAGAGTGTTGAGTTGTTCGTAGGATGAAGTTGAAAGCATGTTTGTCCAGGAAATTCTCTTTGATGTTAGTTTTAGAGAATTGGTAATTAGTAACTTCAACTATTACGTGTGATCTCATTGATCCTTTCTGTGTATTTGTTTATAAGACTTTTTTCCAGTGTACTAGGGCTGGGGAAACTGGTGAGGACTTGTTACTTATATCCCTCTTTGTACTAGATGAAAGTACTTTTAAACATTAAGGTATTTTCTCCAGTATTATTTTCCTACTCTTCCCATCCTCATTCTATCATTATTTGTTATAAAAAAGAAATAGATAATTGATAAGATTACCTATTTCACTGGAAGTGACTGAAAACCTTTCAAGATTTTTACTGACTTAAAATAACATTTTTTACTTACAGATATTGGTAACTTGAACATTTCTCCCAGTGGTCATCAAAAGTGTATTTTTAGAGCTTTTTAAAAATCATACATTCAGTAAGATCAGAATTGTTTACATGTGATTCATGGAGTTGTGTGTGCCTCCCTCCCTAATAATTTTTCCTCTAAGCCTTATTTTTTAACGTTAATGGTAGTATTTGGTTTTATAGATCTTTAATGATTCATTTATATTGGTGCTACCCGTTATTCCATATTCTAGCCTACAGTCAGTGAAGAATTTAGCTCTGAAGCAGTCTTTTAATTATTCCACTGAACAAATTAAACTTTGGTTACAATTTGTTTATGGGCTAGGTTTCAAAAACAGAGCTGGGGTTGTAGCTCAGTGTTTGAGCTCTTGCCTAGCATGTGCAAGACCCTGGATTTGGTCCCTAACACTGCAAAAACAACAGAGCCTAAGAACACATTTTCTAGTCCTGCTTCCTGAGTGAAAACAAACCATTCTTTTTGAGTATAATTCTCTTCTTAATTCAGGTAATTCAGATACCATTCTCTAATGTTCTGTCAAGTGGTTAAACGTCAAATGAGCTATTAGGCTTAAGTGTCTGAGGACTAATAATAACATTGTGTTGTTTTTTAAATTGGCCTTCACAGTGTAATTTTACAGAATCAAGACTACTTTTACTAGTGGGTGGAGAACCTACTTTTTCTTGTGAGATTCACACCTGTCTTACAGTCATTCTATAATACTGAAGATCTGGTTTTGTTCTGCCACTTTAGTGACAAGTTCAGAATCTACTTTTGACAAGGAACTAGTTTGGTGACTTGCTGTACACATAACTGGCTTTACCAGGTTAAAAACAAATGTATATTTTATTTAGTTACCTAAATGATTTGGATAGAATATCACAAACCAACTACATTCCAACTCAGCAAGATGTTCTTCGGACAAGAGTAAAGACCACAGGCATTGTGGAAACACATTTCACCTTCAAAGACCTATATTTCAAGTAAGTCATTATCCTTTTTTGCTGGATGTGCATAACACAAATATCTTTCCTTTAGTTAGCATCTCTTAACCAGGGTAAAATTTGTCTAGCCAATACTCTTTGGAGTAGGAACTTAGCATATTCATTAGCCATTATCTGAATGTTCTAACTGATTGGGAGTCTAAACATTTTTTTTTTTTTTCTACAAATAGCACAAATATTTGTTTGTATTTGGAGGAAATTAAATTTAAATTGTAGCTTACCTACTAGTAGAATTAATCATTACCAGGTTGTTTTAATTTTACTCTTTGTAGCTTTTTTGTTGTGAAACAGGTGTTGAATATTTGTTTAGAAGGATAGCAACAATACTAAATGGCTAGAAAATTGGTTTTTTGCTTAGTTATGTGCCTTTGTTCTGCTTTTTTGACATTAAAGTACAAATACTTTTCTTAACTGTCACTTCTTATTGATTCACTTTTAATGGCATAAAGCTGGTGTTGGCATGGCTGTTGGATTGATTTGTGCACAGTGTGATGTTCCACTAAGTTTTTAGTATAAGGCAGAATGGAAAATGGGCTTGAAGTTAGGGATATTTGGGTGGAGTGTGATGATGTAAGCAGTGATTGGTTTATAGAGAGAAAATTTTAGTATTCTAAAACAAAGAATTTTCTCATAGTGTCAGTAATGCTAATGCCAGAGCTGTTAATGGGCATTTAGAAACACTAGAACTGTGTTTTTTTGGATCCCATTTTCTGTTTTTGTGACATGGAGATTAGGAATAACACTTTTCCCTTCAATACATGATGTACTTTTAAGTTACTTCACTATGCTTATACATAGAATTTGATAGTTAGCATTATTGCATACAAAGGTAACTGCTACCTCAGATTTTTTTCTCAGGTTTCTTTTCTCCGAAAACAGTCGATCCCATGGTCTTACGAAATCTACACAGGATTTACATATTGCTAGGTACCCACTGAAGTCTTAATTCACCACAAACCAGGTTTGAAACCTAGTGCAGCATAGTAGTAGTTCAGATAGACTAGTTGCCTGCTTGTCTTTGGTACGGATGAATTTTAATAAGTATAACCAAGACTACGTGGATTATCCTTGAAACCACAGGAATGAGGTGTCTCTGTATACTGTAAAATTAGTGATTTATGTGTAGTTGAATTTTGTGCTTATTTAGTGTGGGAAACTTTTTTGTTGATGTCATAGATTGGTCTTTAATTAGGTAAATCTTGTTTTTCTATGCTGAGATCAGTAGCCAAATCAAAGTGCCACACCCACGTTATTATTGGCATGTAGATATCTTGTAATGAAGTACTATCACTTCTTCCTTTTCCTCTTCTCTCTAGGCAAAGCCACTATCCATTTATTCAAACATTTATTGAGCCTCTACCATATGCAAGTCATTGTGTAATTTCTTACTTGCCTCTCAGTTATGAGGTAATGTTTATAAAATGTTGATCTGTCAGTGAATGATATGTAAATGTTAATATGTACTGAAGGCCTACCTTGGAACTTGACAGTGTTCTACCAGTTTTATGGACTTTATAAAAAAAAATGGAGTAAACTGGAGTTACTGGTATACTGGTGTGTGATTCTTTGAAAGATTTCTGGGCAAAATCTTACCACAAACCTATAATATGACTCTGTGTTAAATGTGATTGCATCATTCCAAGTGTCCCACATGACCAAAAGTTGAAAAGAACTGTGCAAGATCAACTAAAGAGTTGGGTCATGAAGAGATAAGGTGAATATTTCCTTTAGGGCATACATTGAGAAATCACCAACTGCATCTTATTTCTCTCAGTCTCTGGGGGAAATAATCTCTGGAAATTTAAGTTCCTAATTACTGTAGACCTGACACACTAAACCGATATAGCAGAGTTTAGCTTTTGAAATTTTATCATTAGTATTAAATGTACATTTTAACTGGACTGGAGATTTAGCTCGGTGGCACAGCGCCTTCCTGGCAAGCGCAAGGTTGTGAGTTCGATTTCTGGTACCAGGAAAAAAAAAAAATTAAGAGTAACGATTAGCATGCATGCCATATCAGATTCCCAAGAATCATCTAAAAGACAAAGCCATACAGGTGTCCCTTTCATTTGAAGAAGTAGGTGAAGACACTATTGACAGAGGTTCAGCATATTAGAAGAAAGTAGTGGAATGAAACGAATCTGGAGTGGAACATAAAGTGTTAAGTGTTACTAAGGCTTTTAAGTAGATTCAAGTAAGACTTGGAGTTGACTATTGGTTAAGGATTTTTAAGATAATGAGTTCTTTGAGTTTTGCTGTAAAATAAGTCATATTATTTCATAATTTCTCTCTAACATATTTTTCCTTAACATTTGGGAAAAACTTGGGAACCAGTAAGAAGTCAGGAAGCGGAATGCAAGCTAGGGATTTAGAGGCAAGTCATTTTGAGTGGCAGAGTGGCGCTGTGGATGAGTGTGGGTGCTGGAGTTAGAGTGCCTGGCTCTTGATCCCTGGCCCTCATTTGTTGGTAGTGTGTCTTTGGGCAAATTATTTAATGTACCCATGACTCAATTTCTTCATCTGTAAAGTGCAGATAATAATAATAATAATAATAGTAGTCATGAAAGTGTTAGGAGAGTAAGTGAGTTAATGTTTCTGAGATGCCTAGTGTAGTGTCTGGCACTATGGTGAAGGATAAATACTAGTTGTTGTTATGATTACTCTTAAGCTGTGTTAGACAGCTCATTTTCTCTTTCATTTCCCCTCCTTCCTTGAATCCATTTTAGTGTTTACTTTTGGCATATCCAATACAAGTTTTGTTAGAGGAGGCTCAACTATGTAAAATGAGAAACTAGATCATTCCTAAATTTTATTTTTTCATGTTTTCTTTTAGTCATAGTTATAATTATTTATCTATTTCTTGTTTATCTTTTCTGTTATAAGTGAGGTTTTGAATATGTAATAGTGGGAGATTTCCTAATCATTACAGATGGAGAGAAGTGTAAATACAACCTTGCTGAAGTTGTGCTTTCTTTCTTTCACCCAGGATGTTTGATGTAGGTGGCCAAAGATCAGAACGAAAAAAATGGATTCACTGTTTTGAGGGAGTGACAGCAATTATCTTCTGTGTGGCCCTCAGTGATTATGACCTTGTTCTAGCTGAGGATGAGGAGATGGTATGTTGAAGCTTCTGGGTAAAAACCTTCTGATGTAGCCACGAAAGGGAAACTACCTCCTAGGAAACTGAGTGCATCCATTTATTCATTAAAGGAAAACTTGATATCCTTAGTTTTTCTCCCTATCATTTAGATTGGATTTTCAAAATGGATATTCCCGTCCCTATTGCTCTTGAGGAGATGTGATAGCCATAGTGAATATGTGGGCAGCATTAAGTCCTTTTGTTAGCCAGCCTTTCTTACTTCTCAACCCCGCAGAATTACAAAAATCAGGACCAACTCCGCTTCATGTTGTTAGTGTCTTGACTTACTTCCATGAATGCCATTCATTGCTTTCCAACCTGTCTCATTTTTATTAAATGAATCCACTTCCACTTTTTGCTGTTCATCTGTCATCTTCTGATTCCTTTTCAGAACCGAATGCATGAAAGCATGAAACTCTTTGACAGCATTTGTAACAACAAGTGGTTTACGGAAACCTCGATCATCCTCTTCCTTAACAAGAAAGACCTGTTTGAAGAAAAAATAAAGAGGAGTCCATTAACTATCTGTTACCCAGAATATACAGGTAATGGATCATGAAAAATGTTATTGTACATATTCTAGGTCAGTGCTTTAGTGATGTTCATTCATCTACCTTTGGTTTTGAATGATTCATGTATATGATTCGATACTCTTTTAAGGAGAGTATTGACTAGTAATGATAAGCATTAATTAAGCATATGATTAAGATCCCTTAAATGCTGTTTCAGAACATGTTTGAGTATTCTGTGCTTATTTTAGATTTCTGTCCTCATTTTTTGAGGAAGATAAGGATACAAAGTAAAATTTGGTTTAAGAAAGTATTAGGATAAGATTCTGTCATTCAAGAAATTGACATCTTTTAGAGAGACACACAGATGATTTTATTATAGTATAAAATGTACAGCAGTAGAAGTAGAACAGAAGAAATGATGAAATCAGTGTCTTGTGCTAGAGGAAATGATACATGTTAGAACTGTTAAGAGGATGAATTGGAAATCATTAGGCAGACAGAAATGAAAACACTTGAAAAGAGGCATCCTATGTATGACAATAAGCATGTTAAAAAATGGCGGGACTTTTCTGGAACTTAGAAGGAAATCAATGTTACGGAAATTTAAAGTGATGGGAAGGGAGTGATTGGAGAGATGGATGAGTTCATGGAGAACCTTACGTATCTCATGCTGAGACAGTGAGAACTGCTAAAGGAGTTTAATTGGGGTACATAATGTAATAGAAATGAAACTTTAGAACAATTATTCAGTAAATGATAAGAAAGAGAGGGGAGTTGAATTTGTAAGGACCCTTTTGAAATGCAAATGGAAAGGTGTTGGTAAGGACCAAGAGAGGTATATTGTAGAAGCCAAGGACAAGAATGTGGACAAGTCTTAGAATGCAATTAGAGCTGTGAAATAGAAAACTGTTAGGAACTCTGGGAGTACCTTTTATCATGTCTTTTTTCCTCTGGTTTCTTCTTTATTCTTCTCCATTTACCAACTTCCTTTGCTACTTCTTTGCTATTTTCAGTGTGTGTCCTCTATTAGAAAGACAGGATTGCTTGGCCCCAAATTCATTTCTTGGGAGAAAGTTTCTGGCCATGGATAAGCCAGTCAGCTGAGAGCTGGGCACAGATACGACTGTGTGAAACTTATATTTCAGGTGTTTCAGTCACATATTTCCAGGGAAAGGGAACTCCTGTTACCTGAGACACTGTAAGTGCTTTCTATAATAAAATGAACAAGTGTGGCAAGGTTGAAGTAGTACCCATATTTCCGCCTTGATTGTATGTTGGTACTTGATCTGAATTAATATTTAGAAATATTTTGAAGTATCTGTGGAACATTCAGATGGAAATGTTTATTAGGCAGTTCTATATATGGCTTAGGAACTTGGGGAGAAAGGTTAGGTTAGATATGTAGATTTGAGATCATCAGTAAGTCAAACATGAAAATGAATTAAGTGACCTAGGGAGAGGTACTGTAGAATGAGGAAAGAAAAGAACCACAGGTTGAATGAGAGAATAGCAATCTGTATTGGCAGAGGAAAAATAGTTTCTAAAGGACCCAAGAGGAAGCACTAAGAGACCCAAAGGATCATAAAATCCAGGAATAGAGTTTAGATAGTGAGCAGTCACCAGTGTATATGCAGATAAAATAAAATGCACACTGGACAATGGCCTTTGGAGTTGGCAGTTAGGCAGTCATTGACCTTGAGAGCATGTCAGGGGAATGGTGAGAGCAGGGCTAGAGACAGTAGATTCCTGAGTGGGACATGAAAAACTGAAGACAAGTGGAAATGACCTTTAAGCAGAGTGATTAAAGGGGAAGGAGAGATTTAAGCTTATAGGTAAGATCCTATAACAAAATAAAATTAATAAGCATATGTAATAGACACCGCATGATTTGTAAATGGATGGGGAAAAGACAGAATTAAGAGTAGATAAGATGAATGGATAAACACATCATGGCACATATATACACAATGTATATTATTTAGCCATGAAAAAGAAGAAGGTAGTGGTAAGTGCTCCAACTTGGATGAACCTCAAAAATGTGGTAAGTAAAAAAGGCAAACAAACATAAAAGATCATATATTGTGATTCCTTTTATGTAGTATGTCCAAAATAGTCAAATACGTGCGGATAAAAAGCATGTTGGTGGTTACCAGGAGAGGGGTACGGACAGAAAGGGGCGATTATCTAGTGGGGAACAGTTTGTTTGAAACCAGAGAGTTAGTGGTTGTACAACTTTATGAATACACCAAATGCTACCAAATTTAAAATGGTCAATTATATATTAGGGTTATTCTCCTAGTAATTTAAGAAGTCTAGATAGGATCATTGAGTTTTGAAGAGGAAGAAAGACACTTATTAAGACCAGAGTACAGGTATTGGCAACTTAAAACTAGGTGGTAGACCAAAAAGTTGAAATGTAGTTTAAACTCCGTGACCTCTGTTTCCTTAAGAAGGTTGGAAATATTGTCTGTTCAGAGTGAGGAACAGAAGGAGGTTAGAATTGGATGAGTTTATAGCAAGTATCCAAGTTTTAAGTTGGAGAAATTTTAATTAATGGTGAAGGGCCAGCAGGGGGCCTTCACACAAAATAAAGACATTTATATGTATCCTTGTAGTTGTTATTCTGAACTTCCAATCCTGTTTTCCATTGACTTCATTCTTACACTTAAGGAGTCTCACAAACCAGATTTACCAAGTATCAGTACCTGTTTTTACTGGGTAAAATCCATTCATCTTCCTTTAATTTACAGAGGTTTTCCTACAGATTTTAAGAAACCTACTTTGAGCACCACAAGGCTGTCTTTCTTTAGTTCTTCAAATATTTTGTTTAATATTCCTTTCCTTCTTAAGCTCTTCTTTGTCATAAATTTAATGCTTGGTATTTTCTGTCATGCTTGACGTCACTGAAAATAGTCTCTGGTTTACTGGAATATTCATATGTGTTGGCTTTGTTAAATTTCCCTGGCTTTGCAGCCAGTTTCTAAAGTTACTGTGACTAAAAAAAAAAGAAAACTATTGTAACTAAAACCTTACCTCCTCAAGATGATATAAAAGGCAGATGATTAAGTGTTAATCACAGCTGGGTCTAGTGGTGCACACCTATAATCCCAGCACTTGGGAGGCTGAGGCAGAGAGATTGCTGGGAGTTTGAGACCAGCGTGGGCTACAAAGTGAACTAAAGGCCAGCCTGAACTGCATAGCAAGACTCTGTCTCAAAACAAACAAACAAACAAACAAAAAAAGTGTTAATTACAAATGTTGTTGGAAACAGTTTAGTTTCTGTCTCTGCCCCCTTTAAAAAGAAAGCTTTTTTGTCACCCTTTAAGGTATATAACGTATGATTGAGAAAGATGGTGTGTTTAAATTTAAAAAAAAAATTATATAAATAAAAGACGTATTGCCATTAATCCTCCTCAGAATACTCTCCTTGCTTCAAACACACATACCCTGTCATTCTTGTCACTTTCTGAAGCAGTTCTGAAGTCCTTTCATGAATGCCTTTATAGGAAGCAAGGAGGAATTCTTTCTGGGATTAGTTGTAATGCATCTTTTTACTATAATAAATTTTAAAACTGTAAACGTCATATTTTTTATCACCGTGTGTATACTTGGAGCCCCCTCCTCTGTTTTGCATCTGTTAATTTGCCTTTAGTTATTTAAATTATTGCCTTAAGGCTCTGATTCTAAGCGCCCTTAAAACTGAGGAATAATTTCAAGAATAACTTAGCCTTAGCCTTTTTAAATGCTTATTTCAGGATCTTTTCCAGGAGTACAGGCACTCTCTGACCTTTTAAACAATTGTGTTCTGTAGAAATACACCCACCTACTTTGCTAGTTTTCTTTTCTTTCTAGATTTTTTTTTCTGCTGAAAAAAATACAAATGAAAGGGAAAAGAGAAACTTGTTATTTGCCTGAGTTGTTGTATGTTGTGAATTTTATTTTAGTTACAGTGAGAGTCTGCTCTCATGCAGAATCTAATGATTATAGAAACATTTAATGATTACAGAAATACAGAATTCCATTTGCATTCAATTGTGTCATGTTCCCTTTTTTCCATAAATAAATGGTGATTGCCTGACTTAGGTGAGTTGAGGCAGCTATTACCACAGTTTGTTTCTTTTTTTTTCCGGTACTGGAAATCGAACTCACGACCTCGCGCTTGCCAGGCAGGCGCTGTGCTGCTGAGCTAAATCCCCAGCCCCTTATTACCACAGTTTGAACTGACAATGTTGGGTGTTTGTTTTAGGTTCTAATACATATGAAGAGGCAGCTGCTTACATTCAGTGCCAGTTTGAAGATCTGAACAGAAGAAAAGATACCAAGGAGATCTACACTCACTTCACCTGTGCCACAGACACCAAGAATGTGCAGTTTGTTTTTGATGCTGTTACAGATGTCATCATTAAAAACAACTTAAAGGAATGTGGACTTTATTGAAGAAGAGGGATGTTAAGTAAAAGGTAAAATTTCAAAAAAAATATATTTGTAGTGCTGTAGTGTTGTCTTGTGGTTTGGTAGACTTTTTCTGATTAAGAATATTCTTCTTTTCTAGTTACTACAGTGTGGAGTGTTGAGACCAGACATCTTTTGCTGTCTTGTGGGGCAGCTGCAAGCATGACGGGACCAGGGAATGGCAGCAGCATGCAGAACCTTAGCACTCTTTTAGCACAATCTTCTGCATTAGGGAACATTAATTGGCATGAGATGCTAAAGTCAGACATTGGAATTTGAACAACTGTAAAGTGTGATTTGATCCTGAAGACATCACTTGGATTTTATAATATCAAATGTTTAGGGCAGATATGAAGTTGAGGTGCTGCATTCCAGAACTTCAATACATAGCTTACTTTTTTTCTTTCTTAACAAATCACCAGTTCATTTCTCAAGTTTTTTTTCATCAAGAGAAGAATAACTCTACTAAATTTTATTTCTTTATTTGCAAAGAATCTTATTAAAACACAAACAGTCTTTAACTATGCACATGATGTGACTAGATCATCTGGAAAATATTCCTCTTAGTAGGAACTCTTTGTTTTTAACTCTTGGTATGGTCCATGATATAATATTTCCATACTTAAAATTCTTTTGAGTTATTAGGGCTAAAAAATACAACTTTTTGAATGAAATTATTTTGCTATCCTGCTCAAAATACCATGATGGTTTCTGAATGGTAATTACATTGAAGAGTTCTACAGTAAGATTCTAGCTCTCTTTCAAGCTTACGGCTGAAGTTAACCTTGTTTGTGCTAATTACCAAATTACTAGATAAATGCTGATGTAATATGATAAAGTCAGCTTCTTGGATAAAGACACACCAGGGCAGTCGTCAATTAGAAAAGCAAGTTGCTAAATTCCAGACAGAACCAATGACTTTGCCACTGCATTACTACTAAATTGACCACTTTAATTCTTGCTTGCTTGTCTCAGTCATAGGGAATTTTGTACAGGGTGCCTCTTGTTTTCCATCCTCATGGCCTTTTTTGTTGGGAGACATCTAAAGTATATTAATAGTGCATGCTTTTATTTTGTAAATGTGGTGCCAAATCCCTGTTTGCCATTGTTTTTACTGTAGTAATGTTAACTGTAGTAATCCTTAGTCAGTACATTCTTTTACCAAAAATACTGCATTTTGGAACTTTTTCCACTTTGTTCTGTGTACAGATTTTAATCTGTTATAGTTGGCAGCAGTATTAAAATGGTGAGTAAAGAGTCCAGGTTTGCTCCTGTTTGTAACCAGTAATTTATGGAAGTACTGTCTTTTGTTCTTTTTGTCTCTACTGAGTGTGCTTTGCCATTGTCTGAGAATGGGTTTGTCTAGTTAGAAGGATTCCCTTAGTGTAATAGTATTATTGAATCTGGACCATGGCAGAGGGCTTTATGTCCTGTCTGTGTACAAGTGAAATGCAGTCATAATCCATCTTCCAGGTTTACATTTTGCTTGTGTGGAGTGCTATATTCACTTCTACCTGCAAGGCCTTTTGAGCAAGTACAGCAAATGTCATTAAATATTGAATGGACCGTTGGGAAAAGGCAGATGAAGAGAATGCATTTTCAGCATTTTAAATCAGTAGTCTGATGTGTACCTTTTGGGGTCCAGGTTTTTGGGGGTTGGATTCTATTTCACTTTTTGATGTGACCATCTGTTTGTTAGGTTAAAAAAAAGATTGGTGATCATCAAAGCTGCTTCAGAAAGCAAGCCACAGCAGTTTCATGCCTTTGTTTGTAGTTATTTTAACTTTTACTCTTTTTTGAAAAATCATAACTATACAGAGGGTATAACTATACTATCTAACAAAATTCTCTTTGTGGGTAGGAAAGCCTGATCTAGAAAAAAGGAAATTAACAGCTTCAACTGATGTTTGATTTAATGCCCACAGTGTAAGTAGGGGTTGATAGGTCTTAGTAATTTTGAATATATTTTTCCTTATTTTTATTCTGTAATACAGGATCATCTGGAAATGAGAAATGTTTTTGTAGTACTGCTATACTCTGGGATTAGTAGAATATTTTTGATAACCTAAAGCAACAGATAATCCAAAGATAATTTTACTTGGAAGTGTAGTTTTTATTTTCATTTGAATATGTCTATCTGATGTGTTCGTTATTTTTTAAAAGCCCTTCTGTTAATGAAAGCATAGTTTTATACTTTTGTCTCTATACTATTTATACTTTTCTCTATTTACATGAAGTTCATCCTTACCCTGTCATCCCACATAATTTGCTAAATGCACATCCCTTGAGGACAGAAGGGAGGCAGTTTAAGTCAGTGGTTCTCAAATATAACTTAAATTAAAATCACCTGGACTTATCTGACAAGGTTGGTTCTTGGCTGGTGGGCTTATAATCTTCTTACAAGGTGAGTTTGATAATCAGCCAAGCTTTCAAATTAGCAGAGTGTTTTGAAGCAAAAGATCTTTTCTTATGGCAGAGCCAGAATTTGGGGCTGAACATCAAATTTATTAGCCTGGAGAAAAAAAGATTGGTATTTGTAATCAAGGATGTTAAAAGACACATTGCATGTTTTCTCTGGAAAAAAAAAAAATCCCCCCTCCCTGGAAAAATTTTGATGAATCATGTTTCTGAATCTACATGATCATACCTCTGATTATCTAAGAAGTCAACACAACTAAGAAAATGAAAAGTTTAATGAATATAAAGAATGTAAATAGAACCTAGCAGGAAGGACTGCAGCAATAACTTTTTATTTTGTTAATAGCCACATCTTTTAATTAAAACCTCGGGCAAAAGGAAGTAGTGTTTTTAATTGATGGTCTACGCTAACCTTATAAATTCAGCTTTGTGTAATAGGTTTCACCTCCTGATATGAAAATTCAGAAAACCATTAGTTATTCACAAATGGATATTGAGGCGATACCTTCATCTTCAACAGTTTGCGTTCTAAATCTCCAGTTTGGTGTATCATTTTATTATTTTCTCTGATGGATTATTTTTTATAAGGTGCTGTAATCATAGAATAGTTGGATCACATTTTTAAAAACTGTTTTTTTTGGCCATGTGTGGTGGTGCATGCCTGTAATCCCAGCTCTCAGGAGGCAGAGGCAGGAGGATTGCTATGAGTTTGTGGCCAGCCTGGGCTACATAGTGATACCCTATCTCAAACCCACCCCCACAAAAAATTTAAAAAACTGTTTTCTTGTTTCATTTTTTTATTCTCATATACATCCATGTGTATTATATATACATTTTACACTACTTTTAGACAAAAAATAACTGTGGTTTTTTTAGTTCACTCACTCACCCTATATTCATGTGTCCTGGCCACTACTCACCAGTTTGTAGCTGTCACTTTGGAATTGGTTGCTTGGCCTGACCAGTTACTTAATATATTTATCCATTTGCTTAATATCTGTAACATAGTTCTCAAATTTGCTGTTGCAAAAGTCCTTGCTGTATTGCGCTTACATGTAAGGTAAAGTCAGTCTCCCAATTAAAAATACGCTTTCCCCTTCTAGATACTTTTTTTTAAAAAGCCATTCTCTAGTCAAACCAAAGTAGCACTACATTTTTCAGTGTTGTGACTTTTGGGAGCTTTACCTTTCATATGTAATGGTGACTTCGACAACAGTGGTATTGCCATGCCTGGTGGTACATGCCTGTAATACTTGCTCTCGAGGCTGAGGGAGGGGGATGGCCATGACTTCAAAGTCAGCCTGAGTTGCATAGTGAGTTCAAGGCCAGCCTGAACTACACAGCAAGACCCTTTAGAAAAAAAAAAACAAAAACCCAAAAGAACAAAAGTATCTTAATTTGCCAGTATTATCAGCTATGGTCATACTACTTCAGGCTTTATAGTAGATCTGACCTGGGATAAGCACAGCTCTCTGCATAGCTTTATAACCATTATATTCTGTTATATTGCTTTGAATAAGCACAAGAAAAACAAAAAGAGGTTGCTTAGAGGCCTGAAATTAAAGTTAGTTTGCTGCCAACATATCAGAGGGTACAAATGTTTTTTGAGGCACCTGAAAATTTTCAGGGTGTTTGTTTTTCTTTGTTTAGGTTTTAAAATCTGCACACACAGACACACACACACCCAGTTTTCTCATTAAATTTTGTGAGTTACTTCTGCTGAGGACAATGTATTTTAGAACAAGTCAGTGCAAGACATTTTTTTCTAGTACTATGTCAGGCCTAAGTCTGCTCAGAAATAAGGGGTAATAAGGAATGTTACATAGCAGCAGATGTCTTGAGTACATGATTAATCTGTACAGATTTCCTTGCTAAACTCTAGTAATACCTGAGCCAGATCTTGGAAATATATATTTTTAAGTAAACCTGTTAGTCGATTTTTCTGTAGCCAACCTGGGTCAACATTTGGGCACTAAATAGGACCTAATATTAAAGATAAACACAAATGTTAAACAGCTACAGTACACATACAACATCATAATTACTAGTGAATAATCATTTTTAAATTTGCCAATAAATGCCTCTTTGTGTGTGTAGAGGGGGAGACTGGGATAGAACCAGGGGTTGCTACTTCTGAGCTACATCTCCAGATATTTTTTTGAGACAGGGTCTTGCTTAGTTGCTCAGCCTAGTCTTGAAATTTGGTCTTCCAGCTTCAGCCTCCCAAGTAGCGAGGATTACAGGTGTGTACAGCTGTATCTGGCAAGAAATTCTTTTTGTATGTGACTAAGTTAAAGTGCCTTCCACTGGAAAGATTAGTAGAACCATTTGATTAAAGAGCAGCCTTACATTTTGGATACAGAATATTTAATTTTTATACAAAATTAAAGCAAAAGGAGAAATTTGAGATATCCAAACATTTTTATTTCATGGCATTTATTTATACAGTGAAAATTAAAAGATATGCATACCAAATTACAGATAGATAAAAGTCCTATGACAGAGAATGTTCTTTATGCCCGATAGCAGTGTTTTCTCTTCTGAGAGACAGTGGTAATGAGAAGGTCACAGAAATAATAAAATACCAATGAGTACTAATATATTGCTGGGATACACTATTTTAGTGTGTTAACATTACTAAGCTATAATATCATTGATAGCTGGAATATTAAATTCTGTATACCTTGGTTTATCTTCTATATTCTACCTACCCCCTCCCACGCCAGTATTCTTTAAGTTCTCCATGTATTTTAACTAAAAGACTTAGTTATGTATAAGAGTGATTCCCAGTAGATACAACAAAAAATTACCAGTTTTCTTTCATCCTTGCTTATGTAGGATAAAGGACTTGAGACCCCTGTGAATCTTCACTGAGTATTATTTGGAGTGCTGGTCTTTCCTTGCTTCAGCCTAGCCTTGAAATCTTGCAAAGGTCTCTTTCAGTCTTGTTTCTGAAGATGGACTAAGATGTTCTTTTCAACTGTGATAGCCTGTGGTTCTGACGAAGTAGGAATATAGATGAAGATGCTTTGCGATGTTCTTATGTTGATTCACAGATTATATTGCATTGCAAAAAGGTGGTACCCGGTGGCAGCACCAACAAGTGTATCCATTAGCTGGCAGTCTTTTCACAGCATCATTTCCCCATAGTCATTTGAAGACCTGAAATGAAGTTGAATTATAAATTACTTTAAAATTTGTTGATAGGGTGAAAAAGTCATTTACTTGTTTTATATTTCAGTCATTGCTTTATTTTCTATTCACACTGGTGCTTACTCTTTCATAGCCAAATGGCAGAAAAGTTCCCTCTGCAGCCTCCAATATGTTTGTCTGACCTCACAGAAACGTCCTCGGCTTTACTGAGCAGGACCACCAGAGGTTCTGGCACACTTGCAGTCCCTGGCCCAACACCGAAGTCCTGCTGGAATCTGTGCTCCGGGGGCTGTGCCGGGTAGAGAGGGCAGTGGGAGGTAAGAGCTCTTCACCCTTCACCACCTTCTCCACCCAGCATGGCCAGCACACTTTGGTCTACGACAAATCTCCAAGTAGAGTCGGGCTTGAATCCTGTTGTCTCATCCTGGGGTTGCAATGGAATGTTCTGATTTGGACTATTTGGGGACATGTGAGTTTTATTATCAGAGTAGGAATGGTTATATGTGTCTTTTATATTGCTCTTAAGATAGAATTATTGTTATTCATTGTTCCTTTGTAGCAAACATAAAAGCACACTTTCAGTTACATTTTTTCCTTTTTAAAAAACTGTAAAATATACGTAACCTAAAACTTAGCATTTGAATGATTTAAGTGTGTAGTTCAGTGGAATGAACATTCACACTGCTGCACAATTGTCACCACCATCCTCTGCAGAACTTTTTTATCTTCCTAATTTGAATCTCTGTATGTGTTAAATGCTAACTCCCTGTTTTCCTTCCTCCTCCCAGCTCCTGGTAACCATCATTCTACTTTCTTTCTCTATGAATTTGAGTATTTTGAGTACTGTACCTTGTATATGTAGAATCAATACACTATTTGTCCTTTTGTGTCAATTGTACTGTATTTTGTAAAAGAAAAAACTGTCATCAAATTTATATGAAACATAGCCTAATTTACATTTACTGTCATCAGCGTCTCTTTAAGCATGCTGTGCTAGGGAGGTACCTTATGGACTTTGCCCTCTTTAAGATTTGAATGGGAAATTATTCCTAAAACAAATGTAAAGTTATTTATATTTTTATGACTGCTAATTTCACATTCTGTTTTGGGACCTATATATCTTAGTTTGAAGATGGTTTTGTTAAATACTCATAATATAGAGGTGGCATAACTAAAAAATAACCAGGAATTTAGGAATTGCTTAGAAAAATGGGAAATTGACTTTGACTTTCTTGTGTATGGTACTTGTTGATAGCATTTAATGTCTCTAGAAGGATCACTGTCTTTGGATTCAGAAGAGCTGCTTTTTTGTCTTTTTGAGACTGGGTTTCTTTTTGAGACATAGAGTTTCACTGTGAAGTCCAGGGTGGCTCTGAACTCGCTTTATAGCCCAGGCAGGCCTCAAACTCACAGTGGTCCTCCTGCCTCAGCCTCCCAGGTGCTGGGATTACAGGCGTGTGCCACCATGTCCAGCTAAATGAGTGCAATTTTAACAGCTGTAAAATTATTCTTGTGTTTCAAGCTCATATGTCTCTCTAGTATTAATGTTGCTAGTGGCAGCCTAAGTGTGAATGGGTGTTTCTGGCAAAGAGCAGCATTTCATTATAATTGACACTTTCTTTTATATATTAAATCTTGGATGCCAAGAGCTTTCCTCACTAGTAGTTGTAAATGCTAAATCTATACTTGACTTTACCACCACCTGTCAAGATAAACACAAGCTTCATTTCCCCTCAGAGGACTTCAAAGGAATAATTTACTCCTTGCTCTGTTTGGGGAGATGATGGTTTCAGCCAGCATCACATGGACCCAACTGCAAAGATTTTCTGTGCCTAAAGCAAGCTCAGCTGTCTGTTTTGTTCTTTTAAAACATAGCAGTTCAAATGAGAATTTTAGAATTGCTCACTTGTTCTAAGTTCTGTGATAGAAAAGTGGCAGCAATATAATCACATCATAAGTGGGAGTGTGTTGATGTCTTCCAAGTTTAGTCAGAAAGTATGTTATGTAGCCGAGCAGTTGGTAGAGATAAAGGAAACTCAATCGGTTTGGCAGCCTAAAGGACAGAGGGATATTCTGTACTTAATAAAGATGATCATATAAAGATGTGTACCTTAGAAACAAGCTCACATCTATCCAGTGATCCAGATAGCTGAGGCGCATAGCTGTTAGTAAGAAGGGAGTGCTAAGTTAATTGACATTTTAATAGTTGATTGCAGACTTTAGGGAAGGTTTCTAGAGATAGTTTATCTAAAACCCAGATGTTGAATTTCATAAAGTGCAGCACCTGTAGGGGCTTTAGTTTTGTTTTTGTTTTTTGAGACAGGCTCTCACTGTGTAGTTCAGGCTGCCTTTAAACTCACAAAGCCCAGGCTGGCCTTGAACTTACGGCTATCCTGCCTCAGCCTCCTGAGTGCTGAAATTACAGGCATGTGCCACCATGCATGTGCCACCATACCTGGCTTTTAGGGTCTTTCTTGCTGTGACTAAACACAGAGCTTTCAGGGCCTTTCCTTTGGTTTATTTGTGGGCTTCAAATAACCCTGTGAAGTGGGTAGGAAAGCTGTCTTCATTTCACAGATGAGGAACTTGAGGCACAGAGAAATGAAGTACTTGTATTCTTGTGTTAAGCAGAACTAGTACTGGAACTTGGATCTTAACAACTCTTGGCCTTGTGCTCTTGAAACTACTGGCTATTCTGCTCAGAAAAGAACACAAGACGTAGTTTCAGTTGTGTATTCTCCATTCCCAATGGACAATGGATTCATTCTTCATGTCACGGTATACTGACCTATGAATTTCTGCTTAAAATTACCTACATTCTAAGCTTGTTTCTAAAACATACATTAGGGCACTTGAGAGGCCATGAGTTTGAGGCCAGCCTGGATTCTACATTGTGAGTTCAAAACCAGTCTGAACTACAGGTGAGACCCAGACTCAAAAAAAGTATACCTGAGCAGTTGTGGATTAGAAGAGTCCACAGTCCTTGAGATTTTCTTTGATGATAATATCTGTAACTGCATCAAACACAAATTTGACGTTCTGTGTGTCTGTAGCACATGTCATGTGACTGTAGATTTCTTTGACATCTTTTCGCATATTGAGATCAAGGAACTGGCTCTTGATATAATTCCCCGCATCCTCATAGGAGTTGTTCCCTGGTTTTCCAGAAAAACAGTGAAGAAATACAATAAATTAACACTTCTTAGTTGCTCATTTACTTTATAAATTACTGACTTGATCCTTGAAATGTGTTAGACAAATACAGTCGGGGACCTGCTTTTGGAAGGAGGTTTCTCTCGCATCCAGTGCTTCTCACTTGAGTGGACCAAGGAAATTGAAGAAAGAGGTGTCTAGGTGTCTATGTCTACACCTTTGGTGTCTGACAGGTGTTCTGTGAACAGTTAGTGGCTCTCCTGCATCTGATACCTGCTGTATTCCAGATGTATCTGAGTTTAAACCCTGTAATTGAATGTCCAAATTTCTCCCCAAAGACGTTTATTTCTTCTTGGCATACAGAATGAGGCAGTCACCAGTTATTACTAAAAACATTACTGTTTTCTGCAGTCTTTGACACTTACCATCATACTCTGGAAAACAAATACTGAGATGGACTTTCTTGATTTTTTCCTCAAAAAGGTCCTTCTTGTTGAGAAAGAGGACAATGGAAGTAGCAGCAAAGAACTTGTGGTTACATATGCTGTTGAACAGATGCAAAGACTCATGCATACGATTCTAGTAAGAGGAAACACCATTACAAATATCAGATTGGAATTACGGAATAGTTGCCTGCTTCTTTGTTTATTCCCCTTGGAGGGACCAGTGTTCCAAATCTAAAAGCAAACTACTACTTCTCAGTGTGATAGAGTAGAGCCAGAGATACGGTAATAGTTGTGTTACTTCAGGAAAAGTATTGCGCTTCTGTGAGCCTCAGTGTCCTTGTAGAGTTAATTATGAAAGTTAAATGACCACATGTACGTGTAATGTCTATGCTAATGACTGGCATAATAAATGTCACGTAGATCTTGGGCAGCCAGGTGCAAGTCAAGACTTCCGCATCTTTAAGCGCCGCTGATGCAGGGTTGAGACCAGACTTGTTAGCATGTGCCTTTATGTCTCCTGTTTGTGTCTCCGGGTGATTTTGTTAGGTTTATCATAGCTATAGAGTCTCAGATCTATTTGAACAGGAACATGACGGGGATGATTTGGCCCTAGTGAGTGCTAGAGAATTTCCCAGTGACACACTACAAGCATTTGTGCTGTCTTACTCCCTTTTCTGGTTGCTACTTTGAGAGATGAGAAGTGCTACTTCTCATCTGCAGAGTCTGGAGGTTGCCCAGTGCCCCAGGCCAACCAGCTCTCAGCAGACAGGCCTTTACAGACCTGAAGGTTGCTGACTTGAGCTCAGTCTTTTCATCTAATAGCACAAGAAAAACACAATAGGTAGCCTTTTCTCAGTGTTTGCTACTCCTAGGAAATCTTTTAAGACCTCACAGACTTCAAAGATTAAAGATGGAGAAGAACTTGAAAAATGAATAGTGCTCTGAGATATTTTGCTTAAAAGAAAGGCAGAGTGCTCAAATGTGAACTTCAATTACTAAGGGGGAAGGAAGGGAAATGAAGATGGAGCAAGGGATAGGAAGATAAAAGCTTTGCTTTCCATTAATAGGTTGCTGCCCTACTTTTGTGGAGCAGATATTTATGTGAAATTAGTGTTTTCTGCATCTTTGACATTCTGTATCGCAAGCCCAGTCAGAAGTAACTGGCCCTGTTCTGATACTTGTCCTGTAGTGCTCCTATCTTGCAGCATTTTACATGTTGAAAGGACCCAGCCTCAGGTGGTTCTCTGGCAGCCAATTTAGTTGGCATTTAAGGAAATTGGACTGCTATTTTCTCCTGTTGATACTCAGTACATTTTTAGGCTTCTGAGTGAAGTTAGCAGCTCAGTCTCTCTGTCATGTTGTGTAGAGGCACACATCATACATTCCCTGTTCTACTTTTCCATCTTGTTTTTCCATAGGGAGCCTGTGGTAGAAATGTAATTGCTTTTGTGTGATGATCTCTTACCCTTTTAATACTCAGTTGCTCTTAGGAACTTTTTGGTGGCCAAGTGATATTTATATGTCCAGTCTGAGACTAATCTCATTCTTAGTAAATCTGGAGCTTTACTATGCTAACCTGGAACCTGCAAAAGAAATTTTTTCTGGAATTGTTTTGTGAGACATTGACTGGTCTGCTAGAGGACTGCTAGATTGTCAGTGTTCGTTGATATCCTAGTTGGGACACTAGAATGACACAAGCTTGTAAGAATGGGTCGTGAGGGAAACGATCTACCAAAGCTCTTTGGTGCAAAAGCTGCTTACCACCTCGTCGTCTTCTACCAACACCATGTCATAGGCACTGAGGGCTGCACAGAAGATGATGCATGTGACACCCTCAAAGCAGTGGATCCACTTCTTTCTCTCTGATCTCTGTCCTCCCACATCAAACATCCTGAAAGAAGCAGCAGCTGTTCTCATAGACATGCCTGGGATACGGCCCACATGTCTTTGCTGTTCCTCCTGAACAGTGAACACTTTGGGGCCAGTTAGCAGCAAAATGGGAAATGGGGAGAAGAGGGGTTGGGGAAAATAAAACAGTGATTCAGACTGGGCTTTGACAAAGGCCCAAAACAATGCCCATGTCCCTTTTTTAGGATTGCACATGTGTGTTGGAGATGTCCCCAGCAACCGTGTACTCACCTGAAATTCAAGTCTTTGACAGAAAACTTTGTTTCAATGATGCCTGTGGTTTTGACTCTGGATCGTAGCACATCTTGCTCGTTAGGGAGGTAGTTAGGATCTGTAATCCGGTCCAGTTGGTTCAGGTAGCTAGACAGAAGTTACTGGCATTGATGACATTATATTTTGCACAGCAAAGGCTGAGAGTTGCCGCAAATCACACAACTTATGTGGTGGTGAACCAGGGCTGGAGCCCATGTAACTAAATTTAGGATTCTTTCCTTGAAATCTTCATGTGTTCTTAGAAAAGAATGTAGGTAAATAGGCTGAAGGATAAGTCCATTTGATGCAAGGGCTTCATGCAGTTTCTTTGAGTTTTGCCATCTGGAAATCCTTTCTAGATCCTTGAATGAGAACTACTGTTTTAAATGGGTGCCAGAAGTTGGGCTGGGGACCTCAGTGGTGGAGTGGTTGTGTAACACGCACAAGGCCCTGGGTTCAGCCCCCAGCGCAGAGGTGGGGGACAGACTGAAAGCTACGTTAAAGACGTGAAGCAATGCATGGGTTTTGTTTATGTCATAAATAAAATTGGAACTGGGGAAATTTGAACACAGATTTGAGTATTTTATGCTGCTGGGGAATTATTAGATGTTTAGATGATGATACTATAATTTATTTTTTAAAAAGAGCTTTTACGTTTTAGAAATATGTAATGAAATGTTTAGGCAGTGTTATCTGAGGTTTGCTTTAAAATAATGTAAATATGGAGGCAAATGAGTGGCTTTGAATTAACTGTTGAGAATAAGTGATTGTATTATTTCCCTTTTGTCTATGTTTGAAAGTTACCATAAAAAATGAGAAAGTTTAAAAAATAAAGGGAAGAAGGAAGGGTTATTTGAAGAGAAATGACTCAGAAGAGAAGGAAAATTAACATAAGTGCCTACTATTTGCTGGTATTTTCACATTTAAATTCTCAGTGAACCTCATAAGCCTGTAAGATTCATATCCCCATTCTGTGTTTAGTTTTGATTTTTGCAGTAGTGGGCATTGAACCCAGGGCCTTTGTACTAAGCTGTATCCCACCCCACCCCAGGGTGTTGCTAAGTTGCCAAGCTTGGGCTTGAACTTGACATCTTTGTGCCTGAGCCTCCCAGTGTGGTGGGACTGCAGAGTGCTGCATCGTGCCCAACTTACGTCCTGTTTTAGACATTCAGGAATAACTCAGAAAAGTCAAGTAATTTTCCCAGTGTCAAAAGACGTCATGATACACTGTAAAAAATAATCAGCTTTGTGGTCAGGCAGACCTGGGTGCAGCTCCAGCCTCCGCTGTTTCTGTGTGTGATATTGGGCAAATTAAATGACTGTTGAAGTTACAGAAAAGATGATCATTTTTCATCTATAAAATGGGGCCAATAAAAAGCACTGTCTGCACCGTGAGGGCTTATTGTGCAAATGGATAAAGGGTCCTGAGACAGTACTTATAGCACAACTTGCAGTGACTGGGCCTTCGTGAGGGAGCATTCCACAGATAGTAAATGATAGTGTTATTACAAGATTAGGTAACGGATAGGGGTTAAAAACATCTAACTCCAAAGCTCATGCCTGTGTGTGATACTGTACTGCTGTAGGATTGATAAACTCTGTTTCCCTTATCTTTTTGGAACCAACTGTGCACAGTTGGTTGTCTGTAATTCCTGTCCATGTTCCTTTAGTTTGCCCTGGTAATTCCTGAGTCCTCACCCTTTCATTTCTGTCTGGTAGCCCAGGTACAGCCTGGATTACAGCTAGAAAAGTCAACCTTAAAAGGGGGTCAGGGCTGGGGATATAGCTCAGCAGCACACGCACCTGCCTGGCAAGTGCAAGGTCCAAGAGTTTGATTCCTGGTACCAAAAAAATTCATGTACCTCCTAGGAGTGTGCCAGCAGAACTGCAGGGCTATCTTAGGATTCTGAAAGGAGAGGCTAAGTATTCAGTTGAAGAAAACAGGGTTAAGAGTTGTTAGAGCAACTCTGTTTTGAATTTTGTGTCTTCAGCTTTGTAGGCTGAAGTAAGCTAGTGTAAAGTAATGCAGAATGGTGGGAGCTGGCAGATAATCTGTAAGCATTAAATTTAGTCTGTGTGTCTCCAGCTTTCAAGGCATGAAATTGAAGGCTAAGTGGCATTTCTCCTGCAAGATTGCTTAAGCATCATCCCTCCTCCTCCCCAGTCACTCTTACTAAGAGGCTGAATCATTGAGCTGATACTCTGCAGCTCTGTCGAAGCAGGCTTGCACTCCACCATCCTTCCACAATTTCCTGATGACTTCCACCAGCTCAGGAGGCATGGTCCCCTCCTCAGTAGAGTCAGCCAGGTTGTTGAGCTGTCGCCCAGCATCCTGAAATGCAGAAACCTGGGTGAGAATGACATAGGAGCAATGACTGCAGGAGGCTTCTGTGAACAGTGCTGAATGAAAAGCATTTCGCGTTGCTAACAAAGCCTAAAGTGGAGGCAGTCTTATGAAGAGTCCATCGAAGAAAAAACACTAACTTTTGAGTGTGCTCCCCAGGTGTAGAGAGTGGTAATATATCCAGCTTGGAAATTCCTAGAGGATAACAAAGGTCCCAGGTTCTGCTTCTCTGGTGTTTACAACTTTCAACTTTAGTGTGAAAGTGGACTGTCACAAAATATGGGTCCTTTGCTGCAGAAAGGGTCGAAGTTTAAAGGCCAGATTAACCGTGAAATTGACAAGATGGAAGACAGGAACTTGTCATATTTGTTCTCAATGATTCAAATTTAGGGCAAGGCCAATACTAGAACTAGGGATTTAGTTTATAAAAGGTCAGTGGTCAGGGCAGAAAGCCCCAGGGTAACAACTGAAGCAGTAAAAGAAGACAAAAGTGCAAAGAAAGCAGAGAACAGATTTTATAAACATTTAAAGGTTGAAGTTGCTTACTTTTCCAGAACTGAGAAGATAGGAAGCTCAGCAGATCAGATTCTGTTTACATAGAACTTACTCTTACCCAACTTTCTTCATAGTTTATTGGCCTCTGGTTCAATTTCTTCTCATTAGTCTTGCTTTAACCATGTAACATCACATACCACACAGCCTGGATCAGCATAGTCAATGCCCAGCGTGGACATGGCGCGGATGATAGCCAGAATGGACTGTAATACGTTCCCGTAGATGACAGACTTGAACTCCAGGCATTCTTCTGGTGAATAGCCATCCTGGTGAATGATCCTTTAGGGACAGACACCTGGCTTTTAGGTGGACCTAAGTAACCAAATCTAAGGGGTTGGGAGTCTGAGGGGATTTAAAGGATCATATAAACCCCTGCTGCAAAGTGGAGGGTGAGGAGGTTGAGGCACTGGGAGTCAGTTCCTTTAGAATACCTGGGTTCCTTGAGGCTGAGGAGCCTATTGCTCTTAAGTACCTCCACTGGTTTCATTAACGACTCCCCTTTAGGACTCCCCAAGTCCTTCAGGGCTGTGTTTCTACTCACTTCATCTGCTTGACGATAGTGCTCTTTCCTGACTCCCCAGCACCTGGAAGGAGAAATGATTATGCTTCCGATTTCTACCAATTTTCTCCAGCATTTTAGAAAAACAGCATTTTAGAAAAAACAGCTGCCCTCATTTTCTAGCATTTTGAGCTCGGGCCACTTGACCTGGATTGTTTGGTTGATTGATTTGACTGATTTTTTTGTGTGATAGTGTGTACTGGGGAATTGAATCCAGGACCCCACATGTGCTAAGCAAGTATTCTGCAGTGGAGCTACATCCTCAGCCAGCATTTCTAGCAGTTTTGTTTGTTTTTAAAATGCTGGGGATCAAACCCAGGTCCTCACTCATGCCAGACAAAGCACTCTTAACACTGCGCTACATCCCCAGGCCTTTTTATTTTGAGACAGGGTTTCACAAAGTTGCTCAGGCTGGCTTTAAATTTTTGATTCTCCTGCCTCAGCTTCCTAAGTAGCTAGGATTACAGGTGTGTGGCACTGTGCCTGGCAGTGACCTGGTTTTAGAGTAGAGTTTCTTGAACTTTGGCACTGTTTACATTTTGGGCTGGATTTCTCTTGTAGGGACTCTGTACTATGTTTAGCAGCATTCCTGGCCTCTACCCACTAGAGGCCAGTAGCATCCCACTCTCCTAGTTGTGACAGCCGACAGTGTCTCTTGACGTTTTCAGATGTCTTCTGGGAGTCAAAAATCTCTCCATTAAGAACTACTGATAGAATCGGAGGAATTCCTTTAACGGTTCATTCCCCTTTTTTTGACTCAGGTGAATAGTCTTGGGTAGGACCAAAGAGACCTTAATCACTTCCTTGAAATATTTTTTCATTATCTTGATGATTCCCTTATTTGACTAAAATCCCTTATGTCTTCATTCATACTCTTTCCCTGTCAAAACCTGTATTTCCCTCAGCCCTCTCCCTCTGTCTCCACTACCCTGACCCCTCAACTTCTCACTTAGCTTGTGCTTTTTCCCCTCTTAAGCTGCTTGTTTTGAAGCTAGAAGAATCTGCTTAGGCTTGAAAGATCCCTCAGGGGTCCTGTCATCTCCATTTCCCCCTGTGTACCGCCTAGACTTCTTGATGTGTCCTTGGGCCAAGGCACAGATAAGCTAGGAGAAAGGATGCCCTTAGCCTTGTAGTCCCAAAATCAGTCTGTCTATGGCCTCAAAAACCCACCCCAGGCAGCCACTGTTTTGTTATATGGGACCCACCTGCTACGCTAGCCTACTTCTGTGGTAATGCTGGTGGTTTTTGTTTCTTGTTTTTCTCCCCTAAGTCAGTGTCACAAAGTTGCTTGTTTTGGTTCTATTTATAGCCATGATCAGTTTTCCTGGCTGACCCCTGAGGAGCCTCTGTTTTTCTCAGCACAGACCAGTGATCTGCTTAGGAGCTCATCAGGTTGATGCACTTCCCATCTGGCGGAGGCTTTAGAGGCAAATACTAATTGAAAACCAGGAAGGGACTTAAGCAGATAAAGACCCCACTTCTCCTCACTCAGGGTTCCCTACTTGCAAAATTTTTATGGGAAGCAGGAAGGAACCAATGTACTTCGCAAGAACCAGTGGGCGTATTCTGGAGTCTGTGGGTTAGGATTGTATGGTGGGACTTCTGAACCCACTGGTGAGGGAAGGTCCTATTCTCTTCTGATTCCCTGACTCAGAGTCCTCTCACTGTAGATTAGGTGTTCACATAGTCAAGGTTCTTGGTACTTGCCAAACCAAAAGGAGGTGTTTAGTTAGATTCGATGATAGTTCCACCTTGGACCTTGTGCTATTCCTGGCTCAGGGGAGAATGGGAAAATTCTAGTAGCTTTTGCACCCTATTAACTCAGCCCTAGAGCTCAGATCTGACCTAAGAACGAATGGGAAAAGGAACACAGACCTGCCTTATCTCCTCTCCTTGGGGTAGACTAGAACCCACCGCTCCTCCAGGGGACAGAAGAACATGACCTTGGCCAGCTCATCTTCCCCTCTCACTCACCCAGCAACAGCAGCTTGACAGTCTTGGCTTCCTTGTCTGCATCCTCCTGCAGCTTCTTTTCTAGCTCCTTGGATCTCTTGGCTAGCTCTTTGTCCTCTGCACTGATTCCACTCCCCATCTCTGTTGTCTCCTCAGCTACTTCCTCAGGCTCTTAATGCTTCTCCTGTAAGATTTTCTCTGTGTGAAAAGGGAAAAAGTATTTGGGATTGAGTGTCATTCTCTTGCTTTCCTAAGAGCTAGCTTATATGGGACTATGTGAGAGCAGGTGATAGATTCTTATGCCCTGCCTACCTTGTCCAAGACTTCCTACCCCAACTGTAGGCTTTCTTAGTCTAGGGATTATAGTCTTTATGTCTAGCAATGTGATGAGTCTAGCCAATTAAGAGCTTTACCAATAAGACAAAGAGCAAAGATTCAAAATGTTCTGTAGCAAGGGAAATGATCGAGGAAATGACCCAGGTTCTGAAACAGGAAGGAAGGGTGTGGATCCTGGAGCTTTTGGGAGTGAAGTGATAGCCACCTCCATCCTTGAGGGGTGGGGCATCTCTTGAAAGAGCTTCCTCCCTTGGATTTACTTGCATTATAGAGGTAGAGGTTAGCAGGACACACAGGAATCATTTCTCACCTTGAGCTTCCAGACTATAGGGCTCTGGCTTCAAGGGCTTCAAGGCAGCATAGAAAGCTCATTCATCAGAGGAAATCTGGAAAAGTAGTTTTGTTTGGGGAGGTGTTCTTCCCGGGAAAGATTAGCACTGTTTCAGCTCCCCCAGGGCCGCTGCTCAGGAAGCTGCCAGCATTGTTTCTTTGTAGTGCTTTATCTCTGTACATACCCCCTGCCTTTTTTTTTTGTATTTCTGAGACAAGGTCTTGCTGTGCAGTTCAGGCCGACCGTGAGCTCACTTTGTAAACCAGGCTGGTCTCGAACTTGCAGTGATCCTCCTGCCTCAGCCTCCCATGTGCTGGGATTACAGGCATGCGCCACCATACCCGGCCCCCGCTGCCCTTTTTGCAGTACTGGCTCGCACCCTAGCTACATCTCCAGCCCTTTAAGATAGGATCTCCTTACGTTGCCCAGCCTGGGCTCAAACTTTGAATCCTGGTGCCTCAGCCTCTAAAAGTGCTGGGATTATAGGCATGCAACACCGCAGCAGGCTCTTTGTACATACTTTTATCCTTAGCATTTATTACTACTTTTTTGGGGTGAGGGAAGTGAGACAGGGTCTCGCTATGTAATTCAGGCTATCCTTGAACTTACTGTGTAGCCCAGGCAGGCCTGGAACTCAAAGCGATCCTCCTGCCTCAGCCTTCCCAGTGCTGGGATTACAGGTGTGCGTGCCCAGCTATAGCTTCTATTTTGTACTGGTTTACCTTTGAACCTCTTAAAACCTGTAGTTCATAAGCAGGTCTTCACAAAAGGCTTTTAAATAAGTAAAGGAAAAAGGGTGCATAGTAGAGTAAAGGGAGTTGCTTCCCCTGGACCCTGTAATGCCACCTGAGGCCCACCTTCACTTGGTATGAATTTTACTGGTGTTCACAGTGGGGTTTGTGCCACCTCACACAGCAGTTTCCTTGGACAGTTGGACTGTACCTCTTGCCTCTCAGAGGTTGCTGCAGTGCTCCTCTGATTCTCATCTAGGCTGATTCCTCCCAGCAAGAAACGAGGGTGCAGCCTTGCCTCACAAATAATGAAGATTCTCTACTGTCCATATTTCTTCATGCCAGTTATTTCATTTAAATGGGTCTTGCTGGTGGAGCCTCCTCAGAGGGAGATATTTAGAACTTCGCTACCCAATATGTAAGCAAAGAAGAGTGACTTCATATGACTTAGAGGTTTGTTAGAAATGCAATGTGGACCTCAACCCAGACTTTGCAATTCAGAATTTGCCTTTCAGCAAGATCTCAGAGATCTTGCAGGACATCAACAGCCCCGCTCCTGCCATTTGCATAATATAAGGATCACTTGATGTGCTTGTTTCTGCTTTGGGAAGCCTTTACCTACCACTGACTAGAAAATCACCTTGCTCTTGTTAAAGTAGTACCTACCTTTTAGAAGGTATTATTTAGAATCAAATTTCAGTAACTTAATTCTAGAGCTTGAGAAACTGTTTTAAACTAGTATAGTTGATTAGCAGCAGCAGCAAATTTGAAACACTCTGACCTGGAACATTTTTCGGTTTTTGATGTATGTTGACATTTACTGAAGAGTTTTTTTGCTTTGTTTTGTTTTAGAAAATACTGATTTAATTGGTCTGGAATGCAGTCCAGACATAAGGATTTAAAATTTTCTCCCAAGTGATACTCATGTATATAGCTAAGGTGGAAAACCATTAGGATGAAAGGGTTTAATTTATTCTTCCTTTTCCGAGCTGGAGTTGTGTGGCAGTGGTGAGTGGGACAAGAAAGTGGGAGACAGTAGACGCCCTCACCCATTGCTATTAATCTTTCTTCCCCTGACCTTGGAGCGGAGTATATGGGAGGTCAGGTGCTCTGAGCTGATGCCTATTCAGGCAGCTACTTAGTGTCCTCTTCGGCAGTCACGATGGGTGTTTGTTTGCTTGCTTGCTTGTTTTGAGGTACTGGGGATTGAACCCAGGGCACTCTGCTACTGAGTTACATTCTCAGCCTTTTTTTGGTGTGGGGGCAGGGGTGGGGTGGGGTGGGATGGACACGGATCTCGGGACTTGGCTCTTGCAAAATTGCACAGCCTGGCCCTGAACTTGTGATCCTCCAGCCTTAGCCTTCCACATAGTTGGAATTGGGGCTGGGAATTTAGCTCAGTGGCACAGTGCCTGCCTGGCAAGCGCAAGGTCATGAGTTTGATTCCTCGTACCGGAAGAAAAACAAAAACAAACAAACACATAGTTGGAATTAGAAGCCCGCACAACCACGCCCAGCCTGGCATCATGTGTTCCCAATCAAAAATTGACTTAAGGAAAACCAGGAGTCTCTTTGAAACTGTGACTGTCTTGGAATCTTAGCTATAAAGTTTCAGTAATTATACTTCCCCCACCATGCTGCTGTCTCCTTTCCCCAATATTAGTAATTTACAGCTAGGCCAGGGCTGTGTTGAACACTGCACCTTTTAAAGAAGGAACTACCAGGAATTGTACTAGACGGTTTATTTATGTGGCTCATAGCCATTAATTCTCGAAATATCTTCAAGGTAAGTGCTCCTGTTCCCAATTTCCAGACCAGATCAGTGAGACCCGGAGGTTACCTAACTTGTTCAAGGTCATACAGTTTTGTAAACAGACAAACCAGTGATCTTCCTTGCCACCACCCTTCAGCAGTGGCAAAAAGAACCTTTGGGCAAATGTGTGAACCCAGAAGCACCGGTGTTGCATTGTAAAAGGAGCCAGGATCTTTCTTCACACATGGAGACACTGCTTGAGCATGTCCCCTTCAGCCTTCAGTGCTGCGGACTTCTGTGGCGTCTGTTTTGTTTGCCAGCTTCCCGCGTGGTGCTTCCCATTTTCACTCCATGCCCGTGCCTGGCCTCAGAGAACCGAGTCGCCACGGTGTGCACCATCCTGTGCAAGCCTGCCTTTCTGAGCCCTTCCTCTGTGGCTGTTCTACTTTATTACCACTTTTAGGAATAGTACCCTGACAAGGCAGGAGGTGAGGTTCTCATGTAGAGATGAATAAAGCTCAGAAAGTCCTCTTCATTTGAATAAGCACATTTATATTAGAATCGGAGCTAGAGCTCAAGCTTGATGTATAGCCTTTATAATACCATTTTGAGAACACTCAAGTTTCCCAATGAATTTAGGAATGTCTCATGAGTTAGGGGCAGATCTCAGGATCTCTCTTACATCCAGTGGTGAGCTTTCTCCCAGGTGTAGTGAGGGGATGTGGACACCGGCCTGCAGGAGTTTCCAGTCCAAAAGAGGAGGAAGGGGAAGTTCACTGAGGAAGCCGTTTAATTAAAGGGACTGTGCTATGCTGGGGCATTCAACACTGGTTAAAACCTAGGTGTACCTCAGTGGTAGTGCTTGTCCATCGCTCTGGGTTCAGCCCCCAATCCTGCAACAACAGCAAAACAAAATCAAGCCTTCCCTGTGGTAGGAGAGGGTACAGGTATCTGACTGCTAGAGGTAAGTGCTGAGAAAAACAGGGGTGATTGTAAATTGAACAAACTACACAGAGAAGCAGGATAGCAGTAGAAATCGGGGTTTGCATTAGGGGAGAGGAAAGCATAGAAAAAAGCAGAAGCATAAGGTATAAAATACATTTAGAAAAGACTGGGAATTTTGAGGTAATAGGACTGGAATGAAAGGTTCATGGAAGGGCCGGGCATGGTGGTGCACGCCTGTAATCCCAGCACTCAGGAGGCTGAGGCAGGAGAATCGTTGCAAGTTTGAGGCCAGCCTGGGTTATAAAGTGAGCTCAAGGCCAGCTGGAACCGCATAGCAAGACCCTGCTATGGGTCTTGCTTTTCTTTTGGAGAAAAGACCCCCACACACACACAAAAAAGAGGAAAGGTTCATGGAGGGCAGAGCTGGGAGATGAGGACAGGAGAGGGAAATTGGAATTAGCCAAAGACGGGCCTTGAGTGACAGATTAAGGGGTTTAACCAAATCCATTGGAGACTTACAAACAAATACAGATGGATTCAGCTGCCTGGTGCTGTCAATGCTGGGTAACTGAGGTGGGGTGGGCAGGAAGCCTTGGCCAAGAATTTTTGGAGCAGCAGGTGTTTAGGAGTCCTCTGGCCTAAGGCAGTAGACCTCACCAGTAACCTAAAGGCCTGAAGGAAAGGGAGGCAGTTCTTCAGAGCAGTAGGGGTGTGCTGAGATTGGGGGCCCGAGTTCTGGGAGGCCAGTTAAGGAATCATGGTGGAAACAGGCAGGGATGGCAGGAGGCTGTGTTTGGAGCTAGGGAAGATCTCATAGAGGCTTAAACATTTTTTTTTTGTACTGGAAATCAAACTCAGGACCTTGCGCTTGCCAGGGAGGCGCTGTGCTGCTGAACTATATCCCTAGCCAAGGCTTAAGCAGATTAAGCCCTCAGTGTGGGGAAAAACAGGCCACAGGATGACTCATTCCTTTATTTTCCAACTGTAGACAAACTACTAAGGTTCTTGTTGATGTTGAGTAGGTGGGAGGTTGATGCTTCGCTGCAGCCAGGGCAAACTTCCAAGCAGGGACTGTGTCCCAGTAGCCTGGACCTGGGGAGACTTACAGATGGACTAATGAACTGGTTTGCCTGGGTTGGGTGGTGGAGAGGGATTTCACTTGCTGGCTAGGTGAGATCTGGATTAGAGGGACATTAAGGAGGCCTGACTCAATGCAAGACTATAAAATATGGTAGTCTATGTGGTTACAGAGTATTCAATTTTTTTAATGAATTTTTTTGGGGGGCAGGCTTTCACTTTAGTTCAGGGTGGCCTCAAACTCACTGTGTAGCCCAGAGAGTGGCCTTGAACTCATGGTGATCCTCCTCCTGCCTCAGCCTCCTGAGTACTTGGATTACAGGCATGCACTTATTTTATCTATCCCTCCCTTCCTCCCTTCCTCCCTTCCTTCCTTCCTTCCTTCCTTCCTGCCTGCCTTCCTGCCTTCCTGCCTTCCTTCCTTCCTTCCTTCCTCCCTTCCTCCTTCTCTCCCTCCCTTCCTTTTTTGAGATAAGGTTTCACTATATAGTCCAGGCTGGCCTTGAACTCTGTGTAGCCCAGACTGGCTTCAAACTTTACTTTCTCCTATGTCAGCCTCCCCAAAAGCTGGGATTACACACATGTACAACCATGCTCAGCTAAAAGTAAACTGCTATTAATATGACCCCTAATTGTTTGTGGGGCTCTCAGTAATTTTGAAGCCATTGGCTTTCAAAAATGAATAAAATGGGTCAAGCGTGTTGGCACACACCTGTAATCCCAGCACTCAGAAGGCTGAGGCAGGAGGATTACTGCGAGCCCCAGGCCAGCATGGACTACATAGTAAATTCAAGGCCAACCTGAACTACACAGACCCTGTCTCAAAACAAGCAAGCAAACAACAAAAAAAGAGTTTGGATGTGGTAGCACACACCTGTGATCCCAGCCCTCTGGAGACTGAGGCGGGACCATCACCACACGTTTGAAGTCTAGCTAGGGCTATACAGTGAGTTCAAGGCAGTTTAGCAATTTATGAAACTCTGTCTCAAAAAACAAAAAGGTGTGGGGATATAGCTCAGTGTGAAGGCCCTGGGTTTAATATTCAGTGCTGAAAAAAAGAAAAAAAGTTTACTTCAAATGTGATTGCACATGCCTGTAATCCCAGCTACTTGAGAGGCTAAGTAGGAGAGTCTCAAATTCAAGGTCAGCCTGGACAACTTCAGCAAGATTCCTTCTCAGAATAAAACTTGAAAAAAAGGGGTAGGGGTGTAGCTCAGTAGTAGAACACTTTCTGAGTGTGTGTGAGGCCCTAGGTTCAATCCCTAGTATGGCAAAAAGTAAAAAGAGAAAAGAAATACAACAGTTTAAATCCGCAGTGGGTGTAGGGAGCAGCTATAGAGGAGATTTATAGAGTTTTATAGACTGTTGATTTCATCCCCTTGATTATAAAAGTCATGGATTTATACTATAGACAGGTATAAGTAAATATAACACATATTTCCACCACTTAACCATTTGTAAGCTTTTTGATGTGTTTTTTCTATGCAAATATATCACATAATTAGGACCACACTATGTGTACAATTTATTCATTCACCTAATTTTATATTGTAAATAATTTTACATCATTAAAAAATTCTCCAAGAACAAATGTTAGTGGCTGTCTTTCATTGTATGCATATGACATAATTTAAACATTCTCTGATGGTTAAGTTTCCAAACTTGCTGTGTGCAAACATAGCAGTGATGAACAATTTGAACATAACTAGTTTTGTGGCAGCTCTTTTTAAAAGAACAGTAATCCTGGACATGAGTTACTAAGGTTAAGTAGAAACTTTCTTGAGAATCCTGATTATATAACTAAATGGCTTTCAGAAAGATGATATCAATGTGTCATGGTCACCAGGACTATGTATTTTCCCTTTCACTACACCCTTCTATGTTAAGATGCTTTTCTTAGCCTTTGCTCTTTGGGTATGTAAACATGGTATCTCTCTCCTTGTTCTTATTCTACTTTTATTGATTCTGAGATGGACCTCTGCCCCCACATATTTATGAAGGACACAGTTTTGTTTTCTTGCAGTGATGCAGATTGATCCCAGGGCCTTGCACTTGCTGGGCAAGCAACCACTATATACCACTGAACTACATTCCCCAGCCCAAGGTCCTGGTTTTTGGTTGGTCTGGAGTGAGCAGCAGTAGATGGGATCAACGGAGGTGACACCAGGTGCAGGAAGTGAATAGGGTTCAGAGTCCAGAATAGAATCCAAAGTGTGGAGAGAAGAGGAAGACAAAGTTTGGGAAGAAACTTGGTGTGGGGGTGGTGAGAACTGGGAGGAGCTGGACAAACAGCGTTAGAACAACGTTGTGGGGACAAAGGGCAAGGGAGAGAACAGAGAAAAGACCAGTTGCTGCTCATACACTTAATTACATCCAGTGAAGGGACTTCCCTCCGCGGCATCCCTTTCAGGATTCTCAGGCCCCTGGGAGTGGGGATATTGGTTGGTTAGTGAATCTGCAGTCCTCCAAACAGCTGTCTTCTTTATAGGCTGCAAGGTGAATCAACAGGCTGTCAATAATAATCCATGGCTTAGGCCAAAGCAATGCTAATACATGAACAGTGAGTAGGTACTAACTACAGGCCAGAAAACAGTTCTAAGCGCTTACATTTACCCATTTAACCACTGCCATGTAAAGCGGGCACGCCTACACTCGTTTTATGGGTGAAACATGCACAGAGAAGTCCCTTGTTCAGTGTCAGCAACTAGCGGAGGAGTCTGAATTTGAACCCAGACATCTTGGCTAAACATTTATGCTCATACCAGAAGATGAGCGAGCACACCCTGCCTACCAGGGCCTGCCAGAAGAGAACAATGACACAGGTGAGAATATGGAGAATTGCAGGGGCAGGACTTCCGCTCGCTGTGAGTCCTGGGACCAAGACAACAGCTACTCATGGGGTCCTGCCTTTGCGCTAGGAGCGGTGCAGAGGGGCGTTACGTTTAAACCTCACAATAACCCTTCTAAGTGGGGAACTATCATTAGCCCATGCCATCTTCCTGATGAGGAGGCTGACGCACACAACTTGCTCAAGACCCAGAGCCGGCCCGGGCCAACCTTGGCGTGGTGACTGCCCACGTGGCGCCCGGAAAGAGGAAAAAGGCCGGGGGCGGGGTCGCGGCCGGCGGGGGCGGGGCCACGGCCGGACCCCGCCCGGGGCCGCAGAGGCTGGCGCAGTGCCGGCTGGGCTTTGGTGGGGTCACACCTGTTGCGCAACTCCCCCAGAGTCCAGCCGTGGGAGTCGGATCCCGAACATCCAGCGAGTGTTCCAAGAAGCTTAGACGAGTTCCGGGTCCCGTTCTCCGAGGAGCACGTGGCCTGGCCGCCTTTGGAGTGCGGGGTGGGGGTCGGGACTCCGGGGTCTCGCGAAGCCAGTCAGTCGACTGCAGGCGGCGAGGCTCCGCTTCCACTCAGCTGGCAATTCTGAAAAAACTGCCTTACTCCCCCGTCTCAGTGCCGGGGCAGGGGCGCTTGGAGCCACTTGGCCGCGTTCCGGGCCCCATCCTCTCCCCCGCCCTCCCCACCTGGGCTCCCCGGCGGTGCAGAGCCTCGTGCGCGGCTTTCCTGCCCCTCAGGACTCAGGCATGGCTTCAGGTAAGCGTGTACGCGCGGGTTGCGGGGTGGGTCGCTGCCGGAGAAGTGCTGTGGCCCGGTGACCAAAGGGCAGGGGTCTCAGCACAGTCTGTAGGACTTAGGAAAGGCGGCCAGCTCCTGCAAAAGCCTGAGGAAGCCAAGCCTGGGTGCCCAGATGGGACAGGTAGAAGAGGCTGGGGTTTTTTCCGGGACGTGCCACTGCCTCCTTACTTTCTCTGGAGGCAGCTTCTGCTGGACAGTGGAATTTTACCAAGACAGGTCCCTCCCTCCTGGCCGGGGATTCTCAGTTCTGTCTACTTTCCACAGCTGGGTTACCCCAGGGGCCGGGGGCTGGGGGTGGGATGGAGAAGAAAAGAGGGGGCTCTGCCCCAGCGGTGCCGTGTCTTCACCCGTACACGTGCCCTGCCGGGAGAGGAATAGGTTCTGAGCTCGGGGAAGTTCGTACTGGATCCAGTGTATTATTACTTCCTTCTGACTGGACCAGCTACCCTGGACTTTGTCTTCTTTGCCTTGGCGTCCTGGTGAGGGCTCCTGGAAGGGGCGGGGGGCGGGGGCGCAGTGCAGAGCTGGTGGCTGCCTCATCTTGTTTTCTCTGCCTTCAGCCCCAAGACCTCAGACGCAGCCACTATCAGTCAAGTCACTCCCGGGGCTGAGGAAGTAGGGGGGAGGGATGAGGGGCAGGGATGGAGGCCCCAGTCCCTGAGGTTGCCTAGACAACATGTGAAATCGTGGCCAGGGCCTCTTCCGCCTGCGGGGCGCTGCTTCCTGCATCAGTCACTCCCGCTGGGGGCGGGGCGGAGGAAGGGGTTGGATGTGGCAGAGCCAGGCCCCAGCCGGTGCCGCTCAGACTCCTCCACTGTCGCCGTGGCCTCAGCCATGGCATCATATCCATCTGGCCCCAGCAAGCCCAAAGCCAAATATCCCTTTAAGAAGCGGGCCAGCCTGCAGGCCTCCGCTGCGGTTCCAGGTGAGTGTGTGCTTCCTGGCCGGAGGCCCCAGTTCGGTGCTCCCCTATTCAAGCTAGTGGACCCCTCAGAGAGGGCCCCCTTTTCCAGCACCCTTTCAGCAGCAGTCACCCCCGCCCCCCACGGGAATGGCTGGCCTAGGAGGCAGTGTGGGGAGGCAGAAGGGGTGGAGTTACTGAGGTTTCTGTGTCCCGGGGATGCTGTCCTCTGTAACAGGAGTGGGCGTGGGTGCGGGTGCATCAGGAGGTATGTGTGCACACGTGTCTGCGTGTACATATGCTGAGACTGCGTGAAGTGTGTGTGAGTGGAGTGGGGCTGTGTGGGACAGACTGGTCTGCAGACCGGCCACCCTGATTGGTGCCTCTGCCTTTCTCAGCCAGGCGCAAGCTGTCCTTTTGGGGCTAGTCCTCTTGCCAAGACCCCTGATCTAAACCCCCTCACTGTGGCGCTGACATCTGAGCCCCCACCCATTGCTGGCCTACATCTCAGAACTGGCGTTTCTGTGTTAACTGTCCACTGTTTGCTCTTTTCTAGCCTGTGTTGTAAGCCTCCTTAGGACAGTGGGGTGTCCTTGGGCAGACCTGAGTGCTGTGTGCCGTGCACCTTTGGTTCGGCTCCCACTCTGTGGACATCTCTGCACCGTTTAGACCTGGTGGCATGGTGTGGCTGTACTCCTTCCAGTGAGGGTCGACTGCCTGGGCCTCTGCTTTCCAAGGGGTGTTTGCCAGCATCTGCTGCCCCTAGGCCTTATGGCTAAGGAAAGACCCAGCCCCACTTTGGTGGCTAGGTTATGTTTATCCCCCTCCCCCATAGCTTTCTATATCTATAACCTGACTATCTCCCTCCACTATTTTCTTGTATCATTGAGATGTGTGGTCTGAGATCTGTACCGTCCTTAGGGTCTGTGTTTTCTGTGCCCAAGTCTGCACCATCTAGCAGGTGCCTGCTTGCGGGTAGCTCTGAGCCATTTGCCCCATTGCTGAACCAGAGACTCCTGGGTGGTCAGAAGGTGCGAGTACCTGATATTGTGGGTCAAAGCCTTGGGGACTACCCTGCCTACTGAGGCAGTACTGGCACTGAATGAAGTGGCCAGAATCTTGGAGTTGGTGGAATGGCTGCAGAATAGCCCTCTGAGGCTTTTGATTGGCTCCCAGTGTGAGTGTGGGTGTGTAGGTTAGCGCTGTGGCTGAGAGCCTGGGGCACACGTCCTGGGAGATGGGGCTAGCAGGCACTGAGTCTTCTAGGCCTGGGTTTGGGAGTCATGGAGGTTCCTCCTGTTTGTCATCTATGAACCCCCCATGAATCCTCTGCAGTCTCCTGATGGGGCTGGGGTGGCTCTGGGTGCTGGAACCCGCCTTGCGCACTCCAGCATTGCTGTGGAGGCCCCAGGACACACTGGGAGGAGGGGGCTTCAGGGTGGGGCCTTCCTGCTGAGCTGACACATGCCAGCCCTGGAGACCTGTGGTCTGCCTCTCCTGGAGGGGACTGGAGATGGTCTGGGGCCCTCTCTGTGGAGGAGATGAGTAGGCTCAGGGTTCTTGGGCTAGCAAAGACCTTACACCCTGGGGGGAGGAGGGCAGGAGCCCATCTCTTCTTCATCCTCTGAATCTACCCATATGCAAGTAAGAAATGGCATCATCTCATCTTTGCCCCTGCGAAGTCCTGTTCTCTCACTGACCTGCCTTGTTCAGCTGTCTTAGTCCTGTGCTGAGCCCAAGAGCCTCCTGTCTCCTCAATGAGTGGGGTTCTCTGTGGGAAGTATTTTGTGGGTCCCCGGGGCTTGTAGTCACGGACATCTGGGCGCAGAGCCTGGGGCTTTGCAGAACATGTGCAGAGCATTTTTTGTGTGTGTGTGAGTTGTCGGGAATGCTGCTAGGCAGGACAGGGGCCACTTCTCATCCGTTTATAGCCTGTACCCAGAGGTAAAGACATGCTGGTGTGTGGGCTCAGCCTCCAGGCCTGCAAATGCTAGTCCCATCTCCCACAGCTCTCCTTCTAGACAACTTGTCTCTGCCAGATGATGGGCTTGGAATAGGGTTGGAGGTCTAGGGCCATGAAGCCTCAATAACTGTCCCCTACCCATACTGGGCCATTTACCCAGTTTCTGGCCAGCTTCCTCTAGCAAGGGTCCTGTCCCCCATAATCAGGGCCCAGAGGACAGGGTGGGCAGGAGAAGCTGGCCTTGGGAGGCTGGGTTCTGATAGGAGGACTCTTCCCCCTCCCTTTCTTCCTTCCTACCCTTTGACCAGCCAGGCCCTGCCCATTCCCTATCCCCTAGAGTAGTGGTTTTAAGGACGGTTGGGCCCTCCCTGACAGCTTGCCCTGGCCATATCAGCCTGCTTTGCATCTCTCCATTGGGAGCCCTGTGTCTGGCTTGGCTTTCTGTAAATGTAAAGGCCCTCTTTAGTTCTGGAGTTCCTCTGTCTCGCAACTTTGCTGCTCCTTCTCTGGATTTCTGGATTCCCTTGAACTCCCCCAGCCCCCTGTTTGTGGCCATCTCAGGGTTCCCCCTGCTTGCATTTGCACTTGGTACAGCCCGTGCCAGCCCCTAAGCTGTCCTGGGGGACTGGCTGCAGCTTCACTAGGTAAACAGGCGGGTAAGGGGCACAGGGCTGCTGACTGAGTAGACTATACTCTGCAGGTGGGGTCCAGCCAGGGACCAAGGTGAGCTGGAGCATGGGTCCTGGGTCTGGGGCAGGCAGCTCCCTCTACCCTTTGTCCAGACCTAGAGCACTGGGAAATGAGCAGAGAGACCTTAAGGCCTGCTACCAGGGCAGAGCCTCTAATTCTTAGCCTAAGCCAGGTGGAGAGGGGAAAAGAGGATGCAGGTGGGAAGCATCCTCCAAAGCTGGCTGAGACAGCCAGATTGTGGAGAGAGCTTTCTGCTGGGGTGGCTGAGGCTGCTGAGCCTGCCTAGGGAGAGTCCTCCTGGGAAGGCTGGGAGTTCAGCAGTAATAGGCAATCAGCATGGAGGCCGTTAGTGTCGGCCTCCTGGTGGTGCGTATGAAGAGTTTTGCCCTTGGTAGAGAAAGACCTCTGGCTTCTGATTCTCTCCTCCCCAGGCCCCTTCATGGGGCCTCTGGCCCAGATCCTGGGGCCTCTGAGTGGCACAGACTGTTTGTAGCAGTGCCCTTTGGAGGGGCAGCCAGCAGTGGGAGGGGCAAGCTGGGGCCAGGCCACATCTTGGCAGCTCTGGGGTCCTAGGGAGAGGGCAGGCCTCCGGGGAGGAGGCTGGATTCCTCGCCAGCCAGGACCTAGCCCTCCTTAAGGACTGGTTTCCCAAGCCAGAGCTGAGTAGCTTCCTCTGTGCTGGGCAGGTTTGGGATAGCAGGCTACTCCAGAGGCAGGTCTGATCGTGAATTAGCTGCTCTGGAAGCTGGGGCTGGGGGTCCCTGGTGGGGCCACCTGCTCCCACGTGCACCTGCTGCTGGGAGGTAGTCAGGTGCAGGCTCTCAGGACCTGGGCGAGTGGGCCCTCTTCTGGATCTTCGGTTCTTATTGTGGAGTGCATACATCTGCTTGTTCCAGGGGCAGACACAGCACCTGAAGGAGCCTGGGGTGGAGAAGGGTCCCTGTGCTAGATGTGAGGATGAGGTCCTTTGGGAGCCACATGTAGGAGCACTCCTGGGCTCTGTGCAGGGACTACCCACTGTCCAGCCCCTGGCCTTCTTTGGGGGCTGGTCTGGGGCAGGCAGGAGCCCATGGCTTCCGGGGGTTCCAGGCCCTGCCCCTTCACCCCTTGATCCTGGTATCACTGTCTCTGCAGAGGCTCGGGGTGGTCTGGGGGCCCCTCCGCTGCAGCCTGCCCGATCCCTGCCGGGCCCCGCCCCCTGCCTCAAGCACTTCCCGCTCGACCTGCGCACGTCTATGGATGGCAAGTGCAAGGAGATCGCCGAGGTATCACCTGGTGTCCCACACCCCTGTCCCACACCCTGCTCTGCGCCCATGACCCTCCACCTCAGCCCCCTCTCCCCTCACGCTTGGCTGCCCCAGATCCTTAGCCTGTCCCAGGAACTCTGGCTCCTGCTACCCAAACCCATGCCCAGGCTCTGCAGGGGTGGGAAAGCCTCAGGCTCCTCATCTTCCTTCCTTCCTTCCCACCAGGAGCTGTTCAGCCGCTCACTGGCAGAGAGCGAGCTCCGCAGTGCCCCATATGAGTTCCCGGAGGAGAGCCCCATCGAGCAGCTGGAGGAGCGGAGGCAGCGGCTGGAGCGACAGATCAGCCAGGATGTCAAGTGAGCCCTGCACAGATCCTGCAGGGAGGGCGGCTGAGGCGACTGTGTAGCCTTCCCTGTGTCCTTCTGGTCCCTTTCCCATACCTCTTCCCCTTTGTGTTCCACCCAGGAGGTAGTACAGAGTGCAGGCTTGGAGCCAGGCCGCAGGGTTTGGTTCTGTCTTCTGTTCACTGGGGTAGAATATGCTATGTAACTCCATCCCTGGAGTGAGGTGAGAGCAGCACAGGGTCCTCTAGCCCTGCCTGTGAGGACCACAAGTGGCAACGTGCCCACACCACCTAGCACAGTACCAGGACTTGAGAGCTTGTGCCTTGGCTGACCTCCTGCCCCTCCCTGTTGCCTCTAGGCTGGAGCCAGACATCCTGCTTCGGGCCAAGCAAGATTTCCTGAAGACGGACAGTGACTCTGACCTACAGTGAGGAGGGCAGAGGGGCATGCATGAGATGTGGAGCTGGGGTCTGCCTTGCAAAAGGCTCCAACCCTTCCTTGCCGTCCTCCCTTGTAGGCTCTACAAGGAGCAGGGTGAAGGGCAGGGTGACCGCGGCTTACGGGACCGTGATATGCTGGAGCGGGAATTTCAGCGGGTCACCATCTCTGGAGAAGAGAAGTGTGGGGTAAGTGTGGGGTGGGGCGTTGGGCTTCCACGTCCTGGTGTCCTAATGGGCTCCCCTAGTCTGGGGAGCCTGTGCTGGGGCCTCCAGAGGGATTTTCTCTTCCCAGTGGCTGGGGAGAAGGTTTGGCTCGGAGCTACTTGATACCCTGAGACCAGAGTGGGCTGAGTGTTCTTAGAGTCAAATCCCGCAGGATGTGGGGGCAGTGTGAGGTCTAGGAAGGCCACAGGGAGGTGAGCATGAGTCTGAGTTTGGGTCAGAGACTGAGGAGAGTGACCATGTATCCTCATCTCCAGGTGCCATTCACAGACCTGCTGGATGCAGCCAAGAGTGTGGTGCGGGCGCTTTTCATCCGAGAGAAGTACATGGCCCTGTCGCTGCAGAGTTTTTGCCCCACCACTCGCCGCTACCTGCAGCAGCTGGCTGAGAAGCCCCTGGAGACACGGACCTACGAGCAGAGCCCTGACACTCCTGTGTCTGCTGGTGGGGCCCCCATGCGTGCCCTCTTCCATGTGCTCTGGGCTTCTGAGCTTGGGACACAGGCTTCTCTGCTCTGCCTGCCTCTTTGGTGTCTCTTGCTCTCCTTGGGCCTCTGGGCTGGGCACCAGCTGGCCTGACTCCACTTTCTGTGCCTTGCAGATGCCCCGGTGCACCCCCCTGCCTTGGAGCAGCACCCATATGAGCATTGTGAGCCAAGCACCATGCCTGGGGACCTGGGCTTGGGTCTGCGTATGGTGCGCGGTGTGGTGCACGTCTACACTCGCAGGGAACCTGATGAGCAGTAAGGGGGTGTGGTGTGTGCTGGGGGATGCCATGTGAGAGGACGCATTGGCTTGGGAGGGGCTGTAGATGCAGCTTGTTTGCCTCACCCAGCCTCCTCTATGGCAGTTGCTCAGAGGTGGAGCTGCCGTATCCTGACCTACAGGAATTTGTAGCTGACGTCAATGTGCTGATGGCTCTGATTATCAATGGCCCCATGTGAGTTTACCCATGCAGCGCACTCCCCAGCCCAGATTCCCCAGCCCTAGCCCTGTTCCCAGCCCAGCCCTGCCCTGCCCAGCCCCGGATACCTGTAACTTGTAACCTGTTCTCCTGCCCCTCCCTGGTTACTGGGCCCTAGACCTTTCCTCAATCTGCTGCCTTGGCAGCCTCCATCCTGCACCCTCCTGCCTCTTCCCTTGGCTCTGTTCCCTGGGCCCTCCCCAGATGCTTCCTTCAGGGCCTGAGTCCCTGCCTTGTTCGCTTCCTTCCTTCGGCCCAGAAAGTCGTTCTGCTACCGCCGGCTGCAGTACTTGAGCTCAAAGTTCCAGATGCACGTGTTGCTCAATGAGATGAAAGAGCTAGCTGCCCAGAAGAAAGTGCCGCACCGAGACTTTTACAACATCCGTAAGGTAGACCTTTACCCGTAGCTCTGTGTCCTGGCCCTGCACCTCTGCCCAGCCTCTCCCTTCAGTGTCCAGTGTGGAGAGCCTTCTCCCAGCCCCCTGTACTTACCCTGGGTATTCTGACCTTCAGTGGATCCAGCAGCCCTCTGTTCCATCTCAGGTGGACACACATATCCACGCTTCATCCTGCATGAACCAGAAGCATCTGCTGCGCTTCATCAAGCGGGCAATGAAGCGACACCTGGAGGAGATTGTGCACGTGGAGCAGGGCCGAGAGCAGACCCTGCGGGAGGTCTTCGAGAGCATGAATCTCACTGCCTATGACTTGAGTGTGGACACACTTGATGTGCATGCGGTCTGTCCCCAGGTCATGGGTGAGAGCCTGGGTCATTGCAGAGTTCAAGGGTGACCTGGGCTGCCTATCTTCCCCAGGACAGGAACACCTTCCACCGCTTTGACAAGTTCAATGCCAAATACAACCCTATTGGGGAGTCTGTCCTCCGGGAGATCTTCATCAAGACGGACAACAGGGTTTCTGGGAAGTACTTTGCTCACATCATCAAGGTATGGAGCAGCCCTCCCCTGCTGAGCAGGGAGCCTGGAAGGGGACTGCTGAGGTGCAGGGAGGGAGAACCTCAAGAGGTCTGCCTGGGCATGTATGGTGGGTGCACAGAGGGTCAGGAGGGGAGCCTGGGCATCAGCTGCTCCACGCGTGGTTTTAGGAGGTGATGTCAGACCTGGAGGAGAGCAAATACCAGAATGCAGAGCTGCGGCTGTCCATCTACGGGCGCTCGAGGGATGAGTGGGACAAGCTGGCGCGCTGGGCCGTGATGCACCGAGTGCACTCTCCCAATGTGCGCTGGCTCGTGCAGGTGCCCCGCCTCTTGTGAGTGTCCCTCGGAGCGGGAGGAGACACGAGGGCCAGATTCGAGGGATGGTCGAACCTCCCCTGGCCCAACCCAGCCCTCTGAGTGCAAGGAGGGGCTCACCCACAATTTGTCCAGCTGGTCCACCCTGCTGCCCCTTCTTTCCCAGTGGGCTTCAATCATGCTTCTGGGCTCTGAGGCCGGTGCTGACCCTTTTTGGCCTGCAGGGCCTTTTCTCAGTGGCTCTGACCTGCACGTGCCTATGTGCTGTCTTGCCTGTAGCGATGTGTACCGCACCAAGGGCCAGTTGGCCAACTTCCAAGAGATGCTGGAGAACATCTTCCTACCACTGTTTGAGGCTACTGTGTACCCTGCCAGCCACCCAGAGCTGCACCTTTTTCTGGAGCACGTGAGCAGCAGCGTGGGCTGGGTGTGGGTAGGATTGCCGAGCTCAGGCCCAGCCGCTGCTCTAGGGCTGACTTTGGGCTCCCGTGCCAGGTGGATGGTTTTGACAGCGTGGATGATGAGTCGAAGCCAGAGAACCATGTCTTCAACCTGGAGAGCCCCCTTCCAGAGGCTTGGGTGGAGGAGGACAACCCACCCTACGCCTACTACCTGTACTATACCTTTGCTAACATGGCCACATTGAACCACCTGCGCAGGTGCCTGCCCCACCTGGTGCTGAGCCTCGACTTGCTGTTAGGTCTTTCACCTAGAAGACCTCATTCTGTGTGCCCTGGCCTGGGGCCACCAGAGCCCCTGACCCAACTGTTACCCTGTCCCTCACTGGGTAGGCTCTTTCTCTGCCCTCAGACTCCATCCTTACCCCTCCCAGCTAGAAATCTACCACTGCCTTCCTTTCCCAGGCCCACATGGTCTCTGGCCAGAGGGCATGTGTGTGCTGGGGTGGGGGCATATGAGCCCAGGTGAGCTCAGGCTCTAGAGCTGACCCTGTCTTCATGCCTCCCCCAGGCAGAGGGGCTTCCACACGTTTGTGCTGAGGCCACACTGCGGGGAGGCTGGGCCCATCCACCATCTGGTGTCAGCCTTCATGCTGGCCGAGAACATCTCCCACGGGCTGCTTCTGCGTAAGGTCAGGGTCTGCACGCCAGCCTCCTCCCTCACAGTTGTTCACCTTCCTTTGAACCATCCAGGCCCCTCAGCAGCTCATCTTCCTCCTCACCCACCCCCAAATGGCATTCCTCCTTCCCAATATAACTAATACTGGCCCCAGCGCGCCACTGGGGCTCTAGCTTGGTTCTGGCTGTAAGTCACCATCCTCACACCAGGCCCTTCCGCACCCGCTGCCTACTCCTGTGGCTTAGACCCCCAGTACCAGCATGCCTCCTCCAGCCTCGAGGCTACCTGACGGGCCCTTCTTCCCTCTTGCCTACCCAGGCCCCAGTGCTGCAGTACCTGTATTACCTGGCCCAGATCGGCATCGCCATGTCCCCGCTCAGCAACAATAGCCTCTTCCTCAGCTACCACCGAAACCCACTACCTGAGTACCTCTCCCGTGGCCTCATGGTCTCGCTGTCCACTGATGATCCTCTGCAGTTCCACTTCACCAAGGTCAGAGGCTGGCAGGCAGCCAGTGTGCCCCGACCTGTGACATGGGTATCTCTCTGGGCAGGTGCTGCCCGCAACTGGTGGACTGCAGCGGCTAAGTGGCAAATCTCACAGGGGAGGCAGGGAGGGAGAGGCTTCAGGGCCAGGTACTGCTGTCTGAGACAACCTGGCTGGCCCCTCCAGGAGCCACTGATGGAGGAGTACAGCATTGCTACCCAAGTATGGAAACTCAGTTCCTGCGACATGTGTGAACTGGCCCGCAACAGTGTGCTCATGAGCGGCTTTTCCCACAAGGTACCATACCTGCCCGTGTGGGCCTTGGCATCGCCTCACTACTTCTTGCCTCTGTATTTGGGGTCCTCGCTTTATTCCTGGGAATAGTTAGAAGCTGGCTGTAGCTGCGCCTGTTATCCGTACCCCTGCAGGTAAAGAGCCACTGGCTGGGACCCAACTACACTAAGGAGGGGCCTGAGGGCAACGACATCCGCCGCACCAATGTGCCAGATATCCGCGTGGGCTACCGTCACGAGACCCTGTGCCAGGAGCTGGCGCTCATCACGCAGGCCGTCCAGAGCGAGATGCTAGAAACCATTCCCGAGGAAGCAGGCATAGCCACAAGCCCAGGGCCTCAGTGAGCCCGGCCCATGCGCTGCCGACCCCGTCTCAGCACCGAGACAACCTTGATGACATTTTCTTCTCAGACCCCTCCCGTCCCTGTGTGTTCTCTGCATGTCTCTTTGTTTCTATCCTGCATGTCTTTGACTGTGTCCTGTCCCTGGGCCACCTCAGTGAAAGTAGCTCCTGGGGAATCTGCCTCATCATGGTTTTGGTTCAGGTGGTACCTGGTGGACAACCAGGATTTAAGGGCTGGCTTTGCTGACGGCCCTGTCCCAGGATCCTCAGAAGCCTGGCTGTCCTGTGGGTGTCTCCAGTGTCCACAGAGGCTTGAGCGGTTGTGAGGGGCCGGCCCCTTTGGCCTCTCGGGTCCCGCCTGGGCACATCTGAGCTTTGGCTGGAGCTGCAGTTTGATCCCTGTCTTGTTTATGTGGCTGAGGGGGGCCTTGTGTGCTGCTGCTGTCGGCACTGGGCCCTCGAGGCTCTGGAGCAGCTCTGCACTGGGTTTGCTCCTGGCCCTGGGCTGCCTAGCCTGAGGGGCTGGATTTGGGCCTCCGAGGTGCTGGACCACTGCCTCTGCCTAGTCACTGCCCAGCAACCTTCTGTGTCCTTGTCCAGGTCCATGTGCTTCTCCTCTGGGTCGGGTCCCTGAGCTCCTGTGGGAGGGGGCAGCACGCTGTGCTGTGTCTGGGGCCACTGCAGCTGGAGGGTGCTGGATCTGCCTGTAGCTCTGGGGGTGATATCCCCTTTCAGGTCCCCAAACCTTTGACTGGACTTGGACCCCAGCTGGCCCCCATGTTGTATTCTGCACTGAGGCCTTTGCTATGAAAAGTAGCATTTCATATGACCCATTTTCCTAGTGCATGAGAAATAAAGATTATTTAAGTAATGAACAGGGGTCTCTGTTGGGGTAGGGAGAGCCATGGAGGTTCCCGAGGTTGGGCGCCTGGCACTCTGGATTCAGTACAGCACATTACGAGGGGAGCAGCTGGGGCTCAGGTGATGTATTTCATGCACTTGGATGCACAGAGCGAGCTAGAGGGGAGAAGAGATACTACCACACCCAGCCAGCTTGCCAGCTTGGAGGGGGACACCTGGCCCTGGGTCGGTGGTACAGTCCTGTCACACCAGCTGGGAGGGCAGCTTCTTTTCCACCTTGTACTTCCTGTGCACTTCCAGCCTCTTAGGACAGCCTGGTGGATGTGAACATAAGCACTTCCCATGCAGACCTGAGGCATTAGGATCTTCTAGGGAGCTTATTTAAGATGCTCTTTCTGGATCCTAACCTCAGGGATTCCAGCTCAGAGGTGGAAGGTATGGTGCAGGTACCTGGGCAGGTGGTATTGCAAGAGGCTGGAGCAAGCCTGTGCCATTTGAATCCAGACTTAAGCAGCTCCATGTCTTGGTTACTCTTCTCATTGCTGAGACAAAATACCCGACACCCAGAATTAAGGAAGGAAAGGTTTATGTAGCTCACAATTTGTGGAGGTTTTAGTTCATACTCGCCTGGCTCCAAGGCAGAGTGGCCCATGGCAGAGGGCAACCGTTCATGGCAGCAGAAAACAGCAAAAAGAACAAGAGTGAAAAGAGAGAAGTGGGTGGGGAGAGGAAGCTTCTTTCCCTCCCTTATGTTGTATGCAAACTATGCCCCAGGATGGGTGGAGCTCTCACACCCATAATCCCAGCATTAGATCATGGATCAATCAGAAGCTCTAGAAGCCCACCTCATGACTGTGTGAGGCTTTTGGGGGGACACCCAGACACAAACCATACCACTCGGCTTCTGTCTTGCATTTACTGCCATTTCTGGAGCACCTCCTTGGCACAGAGGTTACTGGAGTCTTTGCCCATGTAGAGGAGGAAAGCTAATGTGCCCTGGGCTGCACAGCACCCTGTGTGGGAGGCACAGAACCTTGTTCCAGCGGCCACTGGTGGGTGGGCAGGGCCTGGGTGTCCCAGAGATAATTAGCTCTTTAGCAGGTAAGCCTGTGTAATCGGGGCCCAGCAGGGGAGTTCTGTGGTGGCTTCCTCTTCTCTGTCAGAGGCTCTACCCTGCCCTGCCTTCTGCAGCCAGGAGATCCTTTCTTCGCCTGGCCCTGGGGCTCCTCAGCAGGTGCCCTGTGTACGCTAGGCAGAGCCATCTCATTCTGCTTCCCAGGTCCTTTGACATGAAGGCTTCTCTTGCCTCTTCCTCCCAGCCATTTACATAGCAGAACTGAACCTTGAAGCCGGGTGGGAAGTGTAGGGGGATGTTGGGGGGGGGTGAGTTGAAGCCAGGTGGGCTGAGTTCTGGCTGGAGAACGTACTCAGAAGGAATGGCCAGTGGCTGACTAGACTGCAGCTCAGCGTCCAGGGCTCTCCCCTCTGCCCTACCTGGGCAACTGAACTTTTCAAGGAGATAAATGTATTTAATAATGCAAATGACCTGCATCTTAGCTCTTTTGTGTGTGTGGTACTGGATTGAACCCAGGGCCACTGAACTACATGTGCAGCTTGCTTTCTCTTTTTCTCTCTTTTCTTTTTTTTCTTTTCTTTTCTTTTCTTTTCTTTTCTTTTCTTTTCTTTCCTTCCTCCCTCCCTCCCTCCCTCCCTCCCTCCCTCCTTTCTTTCTTTCTTCATTCAGATTTTGAGACAGTCACTAAGTTGCCCAGGCTGACCTTGAACTTTCGGTTTTTCTCTGGTACTGGGAACCGAACTCACGACCTTGCGCTTGCCAGGCAGAGGCTTTGCCGCTGAGCTAAATCCCTAGCCCCTGACCTTGAACTTTCAATGTCCCTGCCGCAGCCTCCCAAGTACCTGGGATTACAGGTGTGGGCCACTACGCCCCGCTTTAAAAATTGCTCTACTTTAAAAGGCCCCAAACAAAACAGGCAAAAGAGCTTGCTTCCTGTCAGTCCCAGGGCTAGCCCTGAGTAAACCTACATCAGAGCACGGTTCCCTGCCAGTGACCAAACTTTGCAGATCTGGCAGTCCACATCCCACCTGGCCCACGCTAGATCTCTCTCGTTCCCCTTCCTGGGAGACTTGAGGAGAGAAGGTGAAGAACTGCATAGGATGATAGCCCAAACCCGCCGGAACATTTGCCTGTCACAGTATTGTCTCATTTATGAATTTAGTCACAGGAAATCCCATTAAACATTAAATCACATTTAATCCAATGTTCCACAAGTGACTTTATTTTCAAAATGAGAGTAAAGGTGTCCAAGTAGATGCCCAGGCCAGTCTGGGGTGGGTGGTCTCCACAGCTGGACCCAAGGGGTGGCCTGCATGTCTGGAATTGAGTTGATTCAAGTGCCTCTGCTCTTTGCAAACCTTTCCCCTTCAGGAGTAAGGGAGGCTGCCTGAGGCCCCCGAAGTGTGGGAGACCTGGAAAAAAACTTACAGGCCGCAAAATATTTTTAAAAAGCAAAGTCAAACTTAACATGTTTCATAAACTCCCTTCAGAAAGTAGCATGTCAGCTTTAATATTTGTAAAGTTTAGTATCCACACAAATGTCATATTTGAAAACAATTTGTAAATTGGATTTTTGGCAAAAGCTACAGACTGCAGAATGGTGGAAGAGAAATCATAGCCAGTAGTAAATCAAACAAGTTACTCATAGTCAAGTAATTTCAACAGCAAATTTTTAAAAACCCTTTTAAATTTAAACAAGAGTTAAAAGAATGAAAAGAATGAGGGTGCATTTTAATGTTTGTTACGGTGATGGTGACACCTCCCCTACCACTAGTCTGCAAAGGGCTTAAAATGGCCCAGCTCTCCGGGCATGCTCCGGGCCAGGTCCAACTGCTGCCTTCAGCCCTCCTGCCTCACTAAGTAAGCTGCGCAGATTCGGAGCAGCTACTGCTACTCTCACGTCCTCTCTGGGTCCGTGCAGCAGCTACGACCAGCTGGAACTTCTCCACTTTGCAGATGAGAAGCTGAGCTATTGGTGGTGCAACTCCGCCCTCCTCCTTGCTTTGTGGGTTTGAGCAGATAAGCAAGGGAAAGAAAGACCAGCCATTCTCAGCTTAGGTTCCTCAGGGTGCGAAGGACCAGCATATTTTTCTAGTGGGACAGGATATCTGTGTACACCTTGGCATCGGGCTAAGCTCCTCACAATGCGAATGTGTTTAATGTACCTAGGGATGGTGCGTCATAGCTACCATCATGCTTTTATTAAAGAGAAAATCACAGTTCAGGGCAGTTAGTGACTTACCCAAGGTGACTAGGAAGTGACAGAGCGGAAGTATACGGTTGGGATGTGTGGGGTGGGGACAGTGCTCGGGGACAGACAGTATCCACCTCTGCTGAGCAGGCTTGGGGGGGTGAGGCTGGAGGAACATCCGGCTGCATCTGGTATGATGAGAACTTGGCTGAAGGCTTTGGGGATGGACAGGGACGTTTTTAGGGGAGGCAGCTAAGACCCATAGTTAAGACAGGAGTGGCAGAACTGGCCACCCTGTCACCGCTTGGCAGAGCCTCGATAAAAGATTGAGAAAGCGAATGCCATGAGCTGGCCACAAGCCCTACCCCTCTCTGCTGCCTTACACAGGTAAGAAGATATGAGTTTATGATCCCCGGGTTAAAAATCCCTATTTCATGGTACAGCTGTCACTTATTAACATGAACTCCTGGGCAAACTGTATGAACCCTGAGCTTTAATTCCCTTGTCTATGAAGTAAGATATCAGGGTAGGTCAGTCAGCATCTTTTGCTGGAACAAAATGCCGACAGTAATCAACTTCAGAAGAGGAAAAGTTTTATCTTGGCTCATGGTTTTGGAGGTCTGAATGCATGGTTGCTTGGCACTGTTACTCTGGGACTGTGCATAGCACATCACGGTGGGAGCACAAGGCAGAGGAAGACCAAGAGCACAGAAAGAGCAGCAGGGCTCCGGGTCCTCACTTCCCCTCCAGGGCACGCCCAGTGCCCCACCTCCTGAAGGTCCCACAACCTCCCAATAGTGCTGTGGGCCAGGGAACAACCTGTAACACAGGTGCCTTTCAAGGGCGTGCCAGGTCCAAATTACAGCACAGGGTCTATTGCAGTGGTTTGTTATGGAAATTAAATGCCATGTATAAAGCTGAGCCCCAGCAGGGGACTTGAGAGTTTTGGATCTGTGTCAGAAACTCCATCAGGAAACTAGAGGATGGTACATTAATTCCTGTTGAGGAAAATAGCAATAATGTCATGTTTGTTTTCTTTGTTTTTTGTTTTTTTTTTTTCCTCAGTTTATTTCTGGTACCGGGAATCGAATCGAACTCACCACCTTGTGCTTGCCAGGCAGGTGCTATGCCACTGAGCTAAATCTCCAGCCCCTCATGTTTGTTTTCTGCTTTCTGATTTTTCACATTTAATTTTTACTACAGCCTCAAGGGCTGGGTAGGGATGTAGTTATTCCTGCCAGCAGCCTCAAAACCTTTTGGAGTAGGGTGGGGTCAGTGCTATACAGAGGGGATAATGGCTCCGATGGAGAGGCCCTGTCACAGGTCTAGGAGGTGAGCCCGAGGGAGGGCTCAGTGTTGGACTCCTGGCCCCTTGCTCTTGTCTTTGAGCTCTTTTGGGGCCCTGCTGGAGATCAGGCCTAACTACAGGCCCGAAACAGGTGGGACAGTGAATGGCTCAAGGTGAGAGTGAAGCTAGGACAGGAAGGATGGGAAGGGGAGGGATGAGGTCTGGGCCTGGACAAGGGCACAAGGACTTTAGAAGGTGAGTGCCTGCTCGGTGTGGTGGTGCACATCTGTAATCCTTCTGCGAGGCTGAGGCAGGAGGATTCTAACTTGAAGCCCAGCCTGGGCAATAGCAATTTAAGTGAGATCCTGTCCCCACAAAATAAAAAAGGCTAAGTACCCAAGCATCTTTTTAGTTGATTTTTTTTTTTTTTGGATTGGGAATCGAACTCAGGACCTTGCGC